CAGCTATGCATTTTTCTTCAGCTGTATTGTGACATACTCTCCTTACCCCCTTTTCTCTTTTTTTTTTAAAAAAATGTAAAAAATAAAAATCTTTTTTTTCTTCCAGGTAACGGTCACGCCACATACTTGCTGCCCACAGTCAGTCTAGACTCAGGTATTGGCATGCAAAAAATTTCACTTCTGGGTGAAGCTCACAAATACATCTATGAGGCACAAGTGTTACTACTTTTACCTAATGACAGAGATTAACCTTGATGATGTCATTTTCGGGCAGCCACCTATATAAGCAGCCACTGTGCATAAGACCTTCAAACTTCGGATGAAACCCTAAAATGAAATGTGAGGTTCTGCAACCTATTTGGATTATTTTTTTAACCATTGTTGTTGGTTTTTATGCTGTAATAAAGTTGATCCTTTTTAATCTTTTTTTTTAATTTATTTATTCTAGATTTTACTATGTTACCTATTGGCTTCCTGGTTCAAAATATCCCAAGTGTGGATTGTACCATCAAAGCAGGTTCATGCTCTGTACCTTATTCTACCTGATTATTGGTTTTATACTGTGCCATTTGATATCTCCACTTTTGTTTACACATATCCAATAAAATACCACTACTACTGTTGAATATATATCCCGAGACAGGGATAGTACTATGAAGGTGTGACTGTGTCTGCAACGGATCCCCTATACTCCAGCAGAGTATATGCGCTGTAAATCTCTCAAATCCCAAGTGATGCAGTGATTATAGCTCCTGGTTCCAAGAAGAGTAGTGATTATGGTTGTGAGTATAGCTCTCAATCCCCCAAACATGAGCCTAGACTTCATGAAGTTGTAAAACCAGAGCCGGTGCAATGATTTATGGGTACACAGGCGAAGATGATATTGGTGCTCCCCCCACCCCCTTCCCTCATAGTTCTTTCCCCTAGAATTCCTTACAACCACTCCTCCCCTGCCCCATAGTGTTCTTTCCCCTCCTCCCCTGTCCACTAGTGCTCCTTACCACCCACTCCCCTCCCCCATAGTGTTCCTTACCACCCCCCTCTCTGCCCCCCCTTGGTCCCCGGTAAGTCTCCTACCTTTATTATGGCATGGCAGAGCAGACCGCACAGGAACTTACATTTCCTGTACCTTACGGGACTGGCAGGAAGTGCTCGCTCAGTGAGCACTCCCTTTCAGTCCAGTCGGGTACAGGAAACATAAGTTCCTGTACCGCGGTGTGCTCTGCTCGGCCACACTACACAGTAACTGGCAGGGGAGCGCTGTGCGTCCACCTCCAGCTGGCCGCTCTGATCTAGCTCCCCCCCGGGTCATTGCACCCTAAGGCGGCTGCTTGTACCGCCTTATGGACGTGCCGGCCCCGGGTAAAACATTCTGCTTTATTTGGAGCCTTTTATACAACTCCCCATGCAAGGGGTTTCCCAAATCTTATCATAAGGGTATTTCTCTCTGGACCTGAGAGGGAACTAGTAACAAGCAAACATTCCACATACTCCTCCCCTGTGCCTGAGAGATAATTACCTGAGTACACAAACATATAATTAACTTATCGCTCAGGTACAAAAACATAAAGTATAACAAAACCCCCAAAATACTCCCAAAACACATGAAAACCCCCACATGAAACCCCCGATCTGGGTGACCAACATATCGAAAAATCACCCAGATCGATTCAGGGGTTTGGGATTTTCATGGAAGTCAATTATTTGACCGACCGTGCACATGGTCCTATTGCCAAAACTGTTTCAGGAAATCAGGGCTAACAGTCAGTCTCTTAAGGGAGCACAAAAGTACATAAAACATTGAACGGAATCCTTAAGTTACTTGTGTAGCCTGTTTCACTTGTTCGTGGGAACGTTTCCACCGAACAGTGCCTTTCTAAATGGGGTAGAACTAAACGCAGGCGATGATGGAAGTCCAGCGGTGTTCGGGAATTTGTGTCCAATTTTAGTTCCATGAGATTTATGCCCAAACACGTCTGCCTATGTTCAAGGGAACAAGATGGCCGCCACCTCATGGTCGTTCATACGAAATGCGGCCATCCAGACGAACACTCGGTGTTTCCACTGTGGTGGAAATTGCTACTTAGTATCAATTGGGCTTAACAAGCACCCGGGTGGTGTGTGACTGTTTGGTTCCTGAACAATATAAGCCAAATTGCACAAACCAAGCTTTTTTTTCCAGTGTATTTTGCATGGCCCAAATTCCTGGGGCAGGAGGCTGGCTAGCAGGCTCATCCAGGGGCCCGTGACAAGGTTCGGTTCGTCACAGTGCCTTTGCTACATTAGCATATTTTAGTCATTAAAGACATATTACACAACTCTGTGTTATGTTTTCTCTTTTCTTTCGAGATAGATACTTCACAGAAGAAATTCCAATACATGTATGCATATGTTTCTACTATGTGATTGCTCTTAAATGTTACTTGTTAGGCACGGTTCCTCTATTTTTTTGTTCTCTCTCTGCTTGGCTACCTGAGCTTTACTCGAGCATGAGTAAAAGTATTACTAGACAAGTAGTCTAGCAAATAGAGTAGGTATTACCACTCAACACCATTACAGTGGAGCCGTCTTTGGGCTCAATATCATGTGATTGCATAATCATTCTTGCTATTCACCATTATTGTACCTATTTCTCTACTATCTCACCATTAGAACAGAATACGCTATTGGATATCTCTTGTTTACCTTCCATATCAACTAAGACTTCGAACCTCATTCTCCTTTGAAGTTACTCCACCATTTTCCAGGAAGAAAGACAGCTGCTTTAGTTGTGTTGCTGCCTGTTCCACTACACCTACGAACTGTAATAGCACTGTCCTATTCCTGCCTGGTTTTTAGGACACATTAAACCAGGTAACACCACGTAGGGATGTGCATGGGCAAAAAAATTTGGTTCGGTTTGGTACTACCAAAATTCAGGACTTCAGCAAATCGTGACTTTGGCAATTCCCTAACCCCTACCCCATACCACTAAAACCACTTACATATCTAGGGTTAGATTCCTGTCATTATTCCCATAATTTTCCCTTCCTCTCTTGTTTTGCCACTTTTCAGAAATCCGAAGCACTTCGTCCCTTCTGAAATTCAGCACCGATCAGCACTTCGGACATTCAGAAGCATCCGAATGTCCGAATCGCCAAAATGTGTCCAAATTTACATTCGGAACAAAACGAATTGCACATGTCTAACACCACCCCTTAGCCTTACAGAACAAGTCCATGCCCAACAATTCCCCACAAGCTCTGAAAAGAGATCGTGGAATTGCAGCAGACATGCGTGAAACCACTGCAGTCGGATTAAATGCTGTTTTCAAGGAAGAATGTTAGCTGCTTCACAGTTTGTAAAGAGCTCACTGCAAAAGCAGTAAAACATAAGGGTTTGTAGCAAATGCAAGAATATAAGGTATCATTTGAAATACATTTGTTTTACATTTCTTACTGTGACATCTATAGGCTTTATAAAGACAAAGATGACTAGTTCCTACATGGCAAGCCCTTTTAAAGAGCCTGTTACCAAAAGAAAACTATCTAATCTGCTACTACATAGCACAATCGCTGAATCTTTTTTTACTATACATATACTATATACACTATAAGTGCCATTGATACAAAGCTGGATTCCTAGCACTATAGCTCCCTCTGCCTTCCCCTCCCACCGACATGAGTAAAAGGCTAAAAACCCTTTATTTACTTACCTTATCACGGCTCCACCTCCTCCGTCTCGCAACGTCGGAGTGCAAATGCGCATGCGCCACAAATGGCGCTGGTGTATTCGACCTCCCCGTGGGAAAAAATCTGCCACTGGAGTCAGACTTAGTGCTGTAATGTAAACATTGCAGTTTCTCTGAAACTGCAATATTTAACATTGCAGCACTAAGTGCAATAGGGACACTGTACCCTGGCCACTTCAATGAGCTGAAGTGGTCTGGGTGCCTATAGAGTTCCTTTAACCTGAGTGCTCTAATTTTATAAAATACATTAGGTCTCAAGCCACATTGCTTTATAATATTTAAAGGTGAATTGCTGTAGGATATCCACACCTGTATCCTGAAACTGAGCATCTCCATCTTAACTACCTGTCAATCATTGTTATATGCTCTGTTCTTTGCACCTAGCAGTAAGCGTAAAGAAAGCATACAGGGAAGAGTTAAAATTAAACAATGTTTCTTTATCTTCTCTTCATTTGCAATGTTTGTTCTTGCCATTCTTTATTTCCTTGTTCTTGCCCCAATCCTGTCACAAACACCCACTGCCAACCATGCACACTCGCATCATATTGCTCTGCAACAGTCCCCTATCACATTAAGCCACCCAATTCCTTACACCTTCTCTCACCCTGTCACATCCACCCCCAACAGTGTCACAATCATACCCCTTTTCACCCTGCCATACTCAACCAGTAAACAGTCTGCAGTAAAATAATGAAAGGAGGGGGTAAAAAGTGAGGGATAAAAGAATAAAAAGAATGAGTAGAAAGTAAGGGGGGGGGAATAATGAAAGAGTGGGTAAAAGAATGAAAGGACAGATACACAGTAAGCAGTTTAAAACAAAAAATTGCATCAAAAGATTCCCAGTAAGGAGTAAAACCATAAACAGAAATGATACCCAGTAAGGAGAAAAAGAATAAAAAAAAAGTGGGTAAAACGTAAAAAGAGAAAAAGAATGAAGAGAGGGGCTTTACAGTAGGGGTAAAATAATGAAAGGGAAGGATACACAGTAAGGAGTAAAAGAATGAAATAAGAGGACAAACACAAAGGCACTAAAAACCTGTGGCCTGAAGAAATTTAGCCTATTTTATTTTTGGCCCCTACCTACTGCCAAGTAGGTCTGCATTCTAAATATATAAAAAATAAAAATGTAAACGAGAAACAGCATCTCATGAAAACAATGGTTAACACGAGGTACAGGTGATTTTCAGTTTTATTCAATAGTGCAAATTCCAGAGAAGTCCGCTTTAGATATGTCAGCGGACTTCCTCAGGCACACAATGCCTAGTAAATGCTCTCATGAGTCAAAACGTTGCAAGTTTAATCTCAGAAAATCTGCCAGAAATTATATCCAATGTGTTGCAAGTTATTTTTTTTGTGGACTGACTTGGAGTGGACTCACTTATGGCTGGTGGCATGTTGGTTCACCTTCTAATTATATGCCTTCCGATCTTTCCACAGCCAACCAATGTTGTCCAAATATGGACAAAATGAATAGTGCCAATGCTTACATGGAACTTGCTCATTAGCAGTAACCTAAGCAGGGTTGAAGATGCCAAGGGGACATCCAAACATTCAAAAAAATGCTTGACCAAACAACTGGGGAGCAATGATACAAAGAAAAATTAGAGTAGCGCTTTATGTAACTGAACGAAAATACTAGTTGTGGCGAAACCGGCCTCACCACGTGTCCTTGGAGGGGGCTGCTTGCCCGCCTCTTGCCTTTGGACTATGGACTAGACTTTATGTGAATGTGTTAACCCAAATAGCTATGCCATGGAGCGCATTCGTGTAGTTAAAGACTTCGGCTCCATGGCAATTGAACTGTGTGAATAGGATCTGAGCGCTATTTGGTAGTTTTGTGCGCTCAGATCCCAGCTATCTGGGGATATGTGAAATGTCTGTGTCTTATCTGTAAAAGGTGACTTTATGTATTTTAAAGTGTTTTATGTCTTTTTGCAACCATGTGCTTAATGGAGTCTTGTGTCTGTCCTGGGAGATAATTGAATTACTCTCAATTATCTCCAGGATAGAAGACTCTGAAACTGGTTTGGGCCGGAAAGCCATGCTTCATTTAGTCACAAAGGACTTTCCCTTAACTTTTGAACCCCTGGTCTGATTCGTGCCATTTTTTAATAGGTTGTTCCCCTGAATGGATTGATTATGAAAATGTATGTTTTATGTTTGTGACATGTATATTTTAGAAGTTATAAATATTGTGTAAAAACTGTATTCCTCTGCCGGTGATAATGAGATTACCCATTGTGTTCAGTAATCATATCACAGGCAGAGGGGAGGATTTTGTGTGGGAGTGTCTGGGTGTATTGCACGGATTGATTGGTTGTTTTGTAACGCCCTGTGGGCTGTACTATGTTTGTGGATTGGGAATAAAAGAGACTGTATGTGACAGTACAGGTAGTTCCTGTTTTAACCCTCAAAGTGAAGTGTCGTCTCATTATTGGGGGAAGGATTTATTGTATGCTGTTCCAGTTTGACTGCTAGGAGAGTAAACCTATTCGTATGGTTCCTATTCAACTGTCTACAGCATTCATATGCTTGAGAGCATTCATATGCTCCTACGGTTCGGTGGTTTTGGTGTCTGCTGCAGTGCTTGGGGTCCTCAGGAAGTGCTGGGAGCATCCTTCAACGGAGGTACCCAGTCGGGGTGCCAGGCGATCCGTTACACTAGTAATAATAATAGGCAGTACCTGAAAATGGGGGGGATTCCCTCTAAAACTCCTAACAGCAGACAGCAAGGCACAATGGAATACATGATGCGCCAAAATCAAATGGTGAAAATAACATAATTTTGACACATCATGTACTCCATTGTGTCTTGCCAACTAGGGAGCAATATCTACAGCCTACAAGCACGAAGCTCTAGTGGTTCTGGTTCTTAGACTGGTCCTTTAAAAAGGCAATGTAAACACTAAGTGCTTCTGCACTCAAAAAAAAGCTATAGAAATATATTGTACATAAATTAAATATATATTACAGTTTGCAAAACAATGCAATCAAAACGGTTTCTGAAAAATACTTTACATTTCAAACTAATACAGGCATTTAAACATTTTGCACACTTAAGACTTCAAAGCTGGAGTATAGTTTGCCCGTTTATTATGTGTTATGAAGTTTAACATAAAAAACAAATGCAAATACAAAATTATCTCTGTTGAAGGTATAACATTCCAAAATATATAAAGAAAAGAAAACTAAACAAATCCTTTTCAGTCTTAGATAATCCTTTATATAAAAGCAGTATATTTTCTGTCAAGAATCTTGTTACAGTTATAAATACAAGATATACACAGCCTCTCATTATGGAAAATGAACGTTTCTTACAAATATCTACATATAAAACATTAAAAGCAGTGCTTAGTTAATGTTGTTTTCCATTAATAGCTTGTCATAAAAATATACATGTATGTATATTTTCATAAAAGTACTTCTTTTCATGTGATATTTGAAAAACCAATGAACCCTAACACATTTATATATATTTGAGCAAAGCAGTATTGGAAGAGGGTTTGATATGAAAGCTATGAATTGTGACAAATGCACTCTACATAGCATTAAGGCTGGGGTGTACTTATTGAGGTGACGATAAATGGAAAGAGTCCAAGAAAAATAAATGTCACAGAGATCAGGTGGCTGGCTAAAATGTAACCACCCTCATTATTTTGAGAATCTTCATCAAATCAGGAATGTTATCATGACACAATATAGGACCATATTACCATATTGTAACAGCAGCAAAGCACCACACTTCTCTATTCCAACCAATCCCATATATATCTGTACAAACTTTAATTTATGTATTTTATTTACATGTCATAATACTTCATCTCCTACAACCTTGTACAAGTTTAGAGGTTTGGCTTGCAAAAACTTTCAAAACACGGATGAGACTTTTTGGAAACAGTGGCAGTAAAACACTAAACAGCACATTTTCAAAAGCTATCTTCTGTTTTACTTTTATTTTGTGGATGCTCTTTTTATTTTCAGTTTGACATAATTGTGCGTACGCACACACACACACACACACACACAAATATATGGAATTTATATTTTCCAATAATGGGTTTAGAACACAAAAATAAATTTAGGTTTTAAAAGGACTGATTTCAGTTACTGCAGTTTTGGCAGAAGGGCAAAATAAGCTCCAAATCAATTATTTTACAATGTTGTCCTTATGAATGGAAGGAGAGATATGTCACTGAAAACACACATTGCTGAGAATGATGGTTTAAAGAATTCTTGCAGCCTTTATTTCGTCACAGGAAACATGTCTCTAGTAATAAAGCTGAAGTGAAACTTCAAAGGGGTTATTCGTTAAAATGTGAATTGCCAGGAATTCAAGGCGAACTTAAAGTTTAAATTTTAGGTTAAAATAGTTAAACTGAAAACATATTCTAGGTCAGCTTGTAATTTGTCTGTTTGTTGGCCTACAAATTCACTTTAAACAGCCAACAAGTCATACTTCAATAAATAACCCTGAAAGTTCAGAAGACAGCTATCCTCAGAGAGAACAGCAAGAAAAGCTAAACCAAGTCTCCCTGTAACACTCTTAAAGAAAAATCAATGTACTAGCAGGCACTGTTAGGTGTGTTAAAACACCGGCTCATTTTGCATATGGTACCCTTCTGAGGTTAAATCTCTGTTGCAATATTTACGTGTTTCTTTCTTTCTTACGGTCAATATGCAACGTGATGATCAGGTTTGAGGTAGCAGAAACAGGAAAACAAAATCTCAAACCTTAAACTACTTTACTGCTGGAGATTTCTGCAAGACATGCAACCTCCCATGCAGTGAATACATAATCAACCGATATTGTATACAAAACAAAACTAAACCATTCATGGCAGTTCTAACACATTCTGCATGGGGATCCAATGTAGAAATATATATATATATTTTTTTTTTTATCAATCTTTATTTTAAATTTTTTTCCAGTAGAGCTTCATACATTCTTTTTTTTTTCTGCCATTGACGTTCTCGGGGAAAGATTCATACGCTGCTGTCCTGCAACAGTGGTTCAATGTCCTCATCACTCCCCCGATCAGGGTTTGACAGAGTGCTGCTGGTAACGTTGCTGTGCTTCCCACTACCAATGTTTTTGGCTGAATGGCTGCTGCGTTCAGGGATGAATAAGGCAACCAAGAAGGCAAGTAGGACAGCACATGCTCCAAATAAAAATGGCGGTCCTGGAATAATTGATCCCTATCAAAGAAAAAAAATATGCATTTAACAATTTCATATATTCTACAGCTAATCATTCATATATTTTAAACAATCATTTGTAGTTCTTATGGAACAAATGTCTATCTAATGTTATAAGAAACACAACACCACACAGGCTGCTTTGCCTGTAAGCTCAAGTGAATTAGTTCCTAAATGTGACTGGGCCTGAACAACTGGGAAGATTAACAGACATGTTGTAGAAGCCAAAATGACTTCCTAAAATATGGATATGTTTTCATAATAAAGATATAAAGTTACATATCTTTTTTAATGGGGTTGGCATCCTAAATCCCATTGTTTTAGGTATATGCTTGCTTCCATACATCCCTACTTACTTCATCAACTGGATCTTTCATAGTTGTTTTATCTGAGCTGGGCACAGGTACTAGACCACCGAGTTCCACGTGAAAGAGAAAGAAGACAAATCCATAGAGCGCTGGGCCAAGACCATTACAAAGTCCTCTAATACCAGTCACCATTCCTTGAGCAACACCTGCATGATAATGACAGTCTTTGCTTAACAAAGTGAAAGAAAATAGCAACAACAAAAAAAAAAAAATAGCAAAAAAATAACAGCTCCATGTTTCTGCTTTTTAATATATATATATATATATATTTTTTTTTTTTTAATAAAATTACTAAGCCTGTGATTGATTACATTTCATTTCTACCAGTTTTTGCACACTAATTGTTAAGAATGCATAACAATAAGCGACCTACCTGTTTTACAACGGCTCGCACTTATGACCAGGCATAAGTGCGAGCCGTCGTGGGGATTCCCTGCTCTGGTGCGTTCATCTATGTTTGGAGAAGTTTCCCAGAACATAAGACGAACGCACCAGAGTAGGGAATCCCTTAACTCCTCACTTACTGACCAATTCATTCTACGACCGGGTTGTAGGAACAGAACCCGGTCGGTAAGGGAGTGTTTGCATATACATTAGTTTACTTTTTCCTCTATTCAAATGATGCATAATTCCTTCAAAATAGAAATGTCCCTTTTGAGTTTGTTTTTTTACCTTCTTTTTATGACTAACTAATTTTTACAAAACAAACATAAATTGACAACATAAAATTAGTACTACCAAGAAAAAGGGAGATCGAAAACCCGTAGATTAAAATAAATCGTTTTAATTAGGGTAACTAATCAGGTTATGAATGTTCGTTTAATCTGATCCCATATATATATCTTTTTTTTTTTTTAGTTTAACAGGTTAATACCAATATCTTTTCCCATCTGAATTTGGTTTATTAGTTGAGTATAAAGGTGATACTCGAAAAATTAGAATATCGTGCAAAAGTTTGTTTATTTCAGTAATGCAACGTAAAAGGGGAAACTAATATATGAGATAGGCGCATTATATGCAAAGCAAGATAGTTCAAGCCGTGATTTGTCATTAGTGCGGTGATTATGGTTTACAGCTCATGAAAACCCCAGATCCACAATCTCAGTAAATTAGAATATTACATGCAATCAATAAAAAAGGCGTGTACATAGAATATCAGACCTCTGAAAAATATAAGCATGCAAATGTACTCAGTACTTGGTTTGGGCCCCTTTTGCAGCAATTGCTGCCTCAATGCGGCATGGCATGGAAGCCATCAGCCTGTGGCACTGCTGAGGTGTTATGGAAGACCAGGATGCTTCATTAGCGGCCTTCAACTCTTCTGCATTGTTCGATCTTATGTCTCTCATCTTTCTCTTGGCAATGCCCCATAGATTCTCTATGGGGTTCAGGTCAGGCGAGTTTGCTGGCCAATCAAGCACAGTAATCCCACGGTCAATGAACCAGGCTTTGGTGCTTTTGGCAGTGTGGGCAGGTGCCAAGTCCTGCTGGAAAATGAAGTCAGCATCCCCATAAAGCTCAGCTGCGGAAGGAAGCATTAAGTGCTCCAAAATCTCCTGGTAGACAGCTGCGTTGACCCTGGACTTAATGAAGCAAGTGGATCAACACCAGCAGATGACATGGCTTCCTAAATCAACACAGACTGTGGAAACTTCACACTGGACTTCAAGCATCCTGCAATGTGTGCCTCTCCATTCTTCCTCCAGACTCTGGGTCCTTGGTTTCCAAATGAGATGCAAAAGTTGCTCTCATCAGAAAAGAGGACTTTGGACCACTGAGCAACAGACCAGGTCTGTTTTTCTTTAGCCCAGGTAAGACGCTTCTGACGTTGTTTGTTGTTCAGGAGCGGCTTGACAAGAGGAATACGACATCTGAAGCCCGTGTCCAGGATCCGTCTGTGTGTGGTGGCTCTTTATGCACTGACTCCAGCCTCAGTCCACTCCTTATGGAAGTCCCCAACACTTTTGAATGGCCTTTTCCTGACAATCTTCTCCAGGCTGCAGTCATCCCTGCTGCTTGTGCACCTTTTTCTTCCACACTTTTCCCTTCCACATAACTTTCTATTAATGTGCTTTGATACAGCACTTTGGGAACATCCAACTTCCTTCACAAATACCTTTTGAGGCTTTCCCTCCTTATGGAGGGTGTCAATGATGGTTTTCTGCACAACTGTCAGGTCAGCAGTCTTCCCCATGATTGCAATTCCTACTGAACCAGACTGAGAGACCATTTAAAGGCTCAGAAACCCTTTGCAGGTGTTATGGCTTACTTAGCTGATTAGAGTGGGGACACTGTGAGCCTAGAATATTGCACCTTTTCACAATATTCTAATTTACTGAGATTGTGGATTTGGGGTTTTCATGAGCTGTAAGCCATAATCATCGCACTTATGACAAATCACGGCTTGAACTATCTTGCTTTGCATGTAATGCGTCTATCTCATATATTAGTTTCCCCTTTTACGTTGCATTACTGAAATAAATTAACTTTTGCACAATATTCTAAATTTTCGAGTATCACCTGTATACTTTCTGCCATATCGGACTACTAATAGATTTCCAATTTTGTGCAATTATTAGTTTTGTTGCTAACAGTATATGGATAAAGAAAAGTTTGTGTTTTAACGGTATGATTGGCCATTTAAGATATAGTAAAACCTCTAATGGGGGACCATTTGATTTTAACAGAAATTTTAGTGAACCAATGGAAAGTTTTATTCCAAATCTTTAAGCATATCACATTCCCACCATATGTGTAAGTAGGTCCCTTTTTCTCTATTACATCTCCAACATATTTCAGACTCAGATGGAGAAATTTTTGCAGATTTCATGGGAATCCAATACCAGCTATTAGTAATTTTGTAAGGCATCTCCAAAAGATTTAAACAGTGAACATATGGTGTGAAACTAAAGTTTTATTCCATTCTTCATTCTCTATATTTAGTCTCAAATCCTTTTTTCCATTTAGATAAGGTAGGTATTTTTTCTATGTTGTTGAGATTTGTAAGCAAGTGTCTTTTTTTTGACAATATTTTTTCCATTTTTGTGTAATTAAATACTTTTGCAATATTTGAGATTATAAAAGAATCTTCGAAAACAAGATACTGGTTTATGATATTCTTAACTCCAAGGTAATTAAAAATTTGAGAGAGTTAGGAAGATTAAATTCTTCCGTCAGTTCTGTGAATGATTTTAGAGACGCATTATTTATCAAATGTGATATAGTACAAATATGTCTTTGTTTCCATAAAGTTAGGTTCAAATCCTCTGTGGTTACCTCAAGAATTACCTCAAGAAAAAACCCTGTACATTCACTGATATTATTTTAACCATTTTTATTTCCCCTTCTTGGCAGTTTACTACTTAGCATCTGGTTAGTTTCTGAATTAATTAACTTACAAAGACATAAAAAAAAATACAAACATATACATTTAAACATATTAAAATGTTCTGTTGTAAGAAGAAAAATATGTGTATTCGCTCTCCAAAAGAAGAAAATGTCATCTCTTTCTTTGAGCAAAAGCTTCCGCCTTCATTTCAGGCATAAGGAGGAGTGTGGAGCCAAGATAATAAAATTTAAAAAAAAATAAAAAATAAAAATTGCTCATTTGTGCCAAATATCAGTATATACCATCTTCTTTGTTTATCATTTATAGGTAAGGTATCAATTCCTTTCAAAATACAAAATAGTCGGGAGGAAACCAACCTATTTGAGGGGAGAGAGGGACAAAGAGAGAGGAAAAAAATCCAAAAAACTGGTTTGCATAAACCATGCGCATGAATGTGTTGTGTAAGTAAATTGGAGAGAAAAAAAAAGTGTTGTCAAAATGCAGGTCTATGAAGAATATGTATTGTATGATCTCGTAGTTAATGTGTATCAAATAAAGTGAAGGAAGAGCGGAAAAAAAAGAACAAAATAGAAAAGTGTTAGTGAATAAATTGAAGATGAGAATATAAATCCGTGATGTGATATGCAAGTGTCATATGTCGATTGAGTATGGAAGAAAACGTGTGTGAAAATTTTTTGTAAACCTGTGTAAAGAAAAAAAAAAAAAAACACCTCTGTCTCTCAACTCCACCCCCACCACCCAATTTTCCCATGTAGGAATATTAATTGGACCCTGTAGCCTAACTTTCCTTGTTTATCTAGGTTGTTTTCAAAAAAATTTCCCTTCTTGAGGTATTTTAATTGTATTTCTAAATAATATTCAATGTATCTGTATTATACGTATGCAAAATGAGATTGAAAAAAGTAGAATTCCTCAAGAAGAAATTAATTCCTTTTTCATTTTTACTTAAAATAATAATCATCATATATAACTATTTCTGATTGAGTTTACTTCTTCCTCTTCTTGGATTTTATACATAAAATCTTTTATATTTTTATTTAGGAAAATTTGGTTCACGTGATCTTATTTTTTTTTCATCTATACTTTTAGCTTATCAGCCTGTTCAAACTCTTGATATGTTTTTTGAGGACAAATACAGATGACAAAGTATTTCCTCCAAATTCTTGTTCCTGTTGATCGGTCTTGGTATAGTTGAATATCTTTGTTTCCTCCGGGTGATTAAAATTTTTAAACAATTTTAGGATGTTTTATTTGAAACTAAAAGAGTGGAATTGAACAATTACATCTCTAGGATTATCTGGATCCAAATATTTTGGCTTGTTCAGACGGTGGCATCTTTCTAAAATAATATCATGATCTTTAATTGTTGCTCCGAAAGATTTAAACATGTTTATCAGATAATTCCCGAGACTGTCCTGAGTAATGGATTCTGGGATGTTTCTTCTTTTCAAAATTTCCTCTTCTTGATCTGTCTTCCAGATCGTTTATTCTGGATTGTAGTTTTTGTAGGTTGATGGATGTCTCTTTCATATGTTCTTTTATAGATTGTTGTTCACCATTGAGTTTTTCTATTGTAGATACTTTTATAGTAATTTTCTCTTTTATTATTTGAATCTCTTGCGGCAATTTATTAGAATTATTTTCAATTTCTAGTTTTATCAATTGTAGTTGGTTATCTAAACATTTCTGAAGAAAGTCTTGAGTAATGTGGTTATCACCTTTTATATGTAGTAATGTATTTAGATTTTCTTCTACTGAAGAATTAATGTCTTCATTCCGTGCTTTATTGAGTTGATCTTTAGATGACTGTGGAGTAAAAAAGCCAGACATCCTTTTTTTCTGAATTTTTTTCTTGCTCTTTAGATTTTTTTTTTTCCATAATTTTGATTAATGTTCAAATGAGCCAAGACTGAAAAGGAAAAAAAAGAAGCCTTATATAAAGTAACATAAAAAAGTATTTCTTGGTTATTTTGGTTTTCTGTTCTCTCTTGAATGGTGTCTTCGGAGCACGCAGTAAATATATGAGACTTTAAATAATTAAAATGTGATTCTCATTTCCAGAGAGGGTTAATCATAAGTATCTTACGTTAAATATAATTAACTTAATTGTTTTGTAAAAAATAAATTAATGATTGTAGAGCCTAATATAATACACAAATATGCGGTGTAAAATACGTGGTTTGTTACTTCTTTTCTAATATATAGGTAGCAGTACATTTAAAACCAGCTTTTTTTGGGGGGAGGCAAATAAATCAAAACTTTTTGTAATAGGAAAATAATTAGCTTAATGATTTAGATAGAGGAGGATTTCTTCGCTTTATTTTTTTCTCTATATTTTCTTACTTACTTTTTCTCTTGTTTCTCTTTGTATGCCCCTTTGTTCTTTATTTATTTTTTTGTTATGTCCTCTCTCTCCTTTATTTCTTATCCCTCTACCTTCTTTATTGCTCTGTCGTTAATTTCTATATTAAGCCGTATATTTTATTTTATTTTCCCCTTTTGAACTTGTTTTATTGTATTGGTTTATGGGGATTATAGTATTACACAAAAATTATAAGAATGGTCTGATGTTCTTTAAGTTTGGGTGAAAATTGGAAATACAAAAAAAATAGTTTTCCTACCCAACTGTCAACTGTTCAATTGTAGCAGCACTGTAACGTTGTATCGTTGTGACGATGTTACTTCCTCACCGCCTCTTACGAACTCCAGGTCAGCACATCAAATGGCGATATAATGAGTAAATAACAGTCCTGCAATTACGATCCGAAGGTAGAGTACAATGCAGAGTTTGTAAGCCATGAATTGAAGGATCTTCTCAAAAATATCGATGCGTTCTCACTTCACTGCTTAGACCACAATCCGCTAGCTTGGTTCCATCAACTCCTCCTCCAAGCGTGCATACGGAACGTATTCACATGATCTCTCCCCCCGCCCTAAACCCGATGATTTTTATTTTGATTTTTTTAAATGCTTACTTTTCCCAACATTTAACAAATCTGTATTTCAATGTGTAAAAGATTAAATGCAGAAATCCATGCCTTTTTATCCTACTACTGGTTGCCTCCATTTTAGCTCTCTTTGAACCATGTTGTAAGTTCTATCATTCAAAACCTGGCAGACAGCATTAAGAAGCATTTTCAAACTATGCCCTGGTTGTTCCTGAACTGAACTGGAATGTGGAATAATTTACTAAATCTTTAATATAGATTTAAAAGATAAAGCATCTCATGAAACATGCTAATGCAAGTAACAGGAGATTTTCAATGTTGTAATCAGTGTTGTTATTTCCAGAGAAGTGGTGGCTCCCTTTTAACTTATTTATGGCCTTCACCAAAATCGAATGTAGCAGTCCACGCACTGCTGATAAGAAAAACGTGCTGTGTACGGCGTCACCAGCTGTGTCTGATGATGCTGAATGTGAAAAAATTTAAAAACGGATGTTAAGGAGAACGCTGCTCTGGTGGCCGTCTTGACAGTCACTAGAAAAAAGTGTTCTATGCCAAATGTAAACACTGCTACTTTCGAGTAGTGGTTTTAGTGCTTAGCGTGTCCCTTTAAATCAAAATTGTGTGTTAATACACGTAAGGAACATAACTATCTCATTTTACGTACCTTGCTGATCTGATTCAGTGTTACGTGAAATCAGGGCACTCACTGCAGGGAATGTAATACTTGACATTGCTGCAACAGCTCCTGCAGCCCACATCATCCTTAGATTAATGAGAAAAAATAATCAACAGGAAAATCTGACAATATGGTGAGAAAAACGTTGGAAGTATTATATGGTGATATGAAATCCTTATTTAATTTAAATGGAAAAACACAGTACAGTAAAGTATTTGTGCTTTGCCCTAATGCTCCAGAATTCGAAATTAGATCTAGATTTAGAATCTCTGCAACAGATACTGTTCTTAACATCCATTCCTTTGACCAAACATTTAACTCAGGATTGCATACAAAAACACCCCCTTTTAAAAGTTCAGTTTTAACTAAACTGTTCTGCCCTATTTTTTTCTGTAGACTATTCTCCAATTCTTTTTGGTCTGCTCTCCCTCAGCAGGAAAATCTATTTTTTATAACTATTTTCTAGATTATCCAGATCAGCAGTCCAACTATGGATACAAGTTCCTTTCTAACGGTTTCCTTCTGCCAATTTACAAATGAAATCTGTTTACTCTCCAGCATCACAAACCTTTTCTTCTCTCATTAATTCCTTCCACTACAGCTTGCAAGAGCTCTCCCACTGCAAGTACTGTACTATGTGAACTCCATACCTTGCTCCACCAGACATTCCATTAGCCTCCTATCCTTTAAGTGTTCCCTGAAAATGTAGAAAATGTACTTCAGGGCACATACCAGATTTCTGTTAAGCCTCCCTCTATCACCCTTTAAGAAATTCTAACCTATCTTTATCCAACACAACACTCACATGCTGTATGACTTCACAACTTCTAAAGTCACATTTGCTTTCTACCCTTGACACTGCTTCATAGGACAATCCAATCTCTCCTAGCAATACCGGATATCATTTGGTGGTTACTTTATACATTACTAAATTTTTTGTCCTCATTTAATCTGACCTATTCCCCTATTTCACAGTGGGAATGTAGTTTATGAATTAATTCCACAGATGTCTACTTGACAGTTAACTCAAGCTCCAATCTTCAAATAACTTCAATTGGCATGGTAACCATTTTTGGTGGTCTCAATTTTCATTACGTCACAAAAAAGATTAAAATAAATAAATAAATATAAATAAAATAAAAAATATATTTTATATATAGCAACAATGCCATTTGGAAATGTAGTCAAAGATGGAAGCAGTTAAAAATATATTATTTTAATAAACATTTGAACACCATAACACCAATCTGCCAGGCTCTGGTGAGGCGCATTACTCTGTTGCGAGGACATGCTCACACCGTTCCTTGAAGCTTGTTGGCGTCATTGACACTCAAGAGAATACAGTAGAGAATGGAGTCACAGTTTTTACCCTGTTACTAGGAACAGAGGAGGTAGAAATGTAAAAAGCAGCTATATGAGAGTGAATATTTCATAAATGCCACTTACACACAAAGCAGACCTTACTATAACAATTTGTGCTCAACATGCCCTTACCCTCCTTAATACAGTACACCCTCAGCCCACTCCCTCCCCCACCCTCAAATATATAAATAAATAAAATACTTGTTGTTTGCATTCCATTAAGCATATGTACAAACTTAGTTTCAAGTTTGAAATTCTAATAAAATTATTTAGATAATACAATGCCCCTACATAAAAAAGGTTATTACATTTTATACAGATCCTTACCAGGGTTGGGAGCCAAAACCATACCAGGCCAGCTGAAACATCTGAAATCCAAGCCCCAGAAGCACAGTGTTTTTATTCCCAATAGTATTCATAAGGACACTGAGCAGAACAGTCTGTAACAGAGGAATGTAATGCAAGATGAGAGGGAAGACAGCAACATGAATATTGAATTATTGGAATAATTATGGCTACCAGGGATTTATACAGGAAAATGTCAGGTTTACTAAATTTTCACATAATTTACTACATTTAATCTTGTGTACGGGTAAACTGGCTTCATTTTTAAAATATATATGTCATCCTATTTTACATGGATAAGCTAGATTGTCAGTGAGGAATATGTTGTAATGTATTTTTATACATTATGTATATAAAAAAAAAAAAAGATGCTCACTATACCTGCTACTTTAAAATCCCTGAAGCTGCTACGCAGACAAGATGTAGCAGAAGACAGCTTCCTCCCAGATCAGGAATAAGATCCTCAAATCAGGAGTCTCCCATTCAGGTCTTTGGCTGTGGTCTGATCCTCAAATCTCAAATGCCCTTGCTTAGACTCTACAGTCCCACTCATCAGATCTTGCCAATGGAACAGGGTAATATGTCTGCAGTTATTAAACGTTTACTAAAAGCCCTATTTTGTCACTGAAGGTAAGTAAGGATGTGCCTAGTGTGTACGAACAAGTTGGGCCAGTATGCACTGCAAAAAAGGTAGCAAAACGTCCTCCATTTACATTAGACACAGGGGAGTGAGGAAGGGGGGGCAGTATTTTAGCTGCAATTATTGCACTTACAAGGAACTCCTTGTATCATAATCTATGCACTGTATTTATACACATGCCATCTGCACCCTAGAGACTGTAAGCATGTTTTAAGGAGGGATTGCAACACCTTGTATTTATTAATTTTTTTACAATCCATTGCAGTTATTTGTTTGTCCACCCACTAATGCACCATAACAAATACAGCCCGCTGCAATGGTTATGGTGCCAGGAGTACCCTGGAGCCCTGCCAGACCAATTTGTCAAATAATTAAAAAAATAGTTTAAACAACTTACTCAGGACCCCTAGGCACCCGTGGCAGCACTGCCTGCTCTCAACTAATTAGTGCAGCTTTGCATTGGGCTATGCTTAGCTCAGGATAGACACCCAGCTTCTCCTGCATAAGTCAGGTGTGCCCCAGTGCCCAGGTAAGTTGTCAAATCCCTCAAACAGTTTGACGAATTACACTGGGAGGCCGCCAGGAAACCCCTAAAACCATAACCATGGCAGTGGGCTGTTGTGGTTATGATGCTTGAAGAACTCTTTTAAAGAGCTGTGAATTACGTTGGTGCTTTAGAAGTAAAAATAATAATATGCATAGTGGTAGAAGGCAGTGAAGAAAAGGGTGGGGTGGGGGAGGTCATCCAAAATAATTCAACATTAAAGGACCACTCTTGGCACCCAGACCACTTCAGCTTAATGAAGTGGTCTGGGTGCCAGGTCCAGCTAGGGTTAACCCATTTTTTCATAAACATAGTTTCAGAGAAACTGCTATGTTTATGAATGGGTTAAGCCTTCCCCTATTTCCTCTAGTGGCTGTCTCATTGACAGCCACTAGAGGCGCTTGCGTGCTTCTCACTGTGATTTTCCCAGTGAGAGCACGCAAGCGTCCATAGGAAAGCATTGTAAATGCTTTCCTATGCGACGGGCTGAATGCGCGCGCAGCTCTTGCCGCGCGTGCGCATTCAGCCCAGGAGGAGGAATGGAGGAGGAGAGAAGGAGGAGAGCTCTCCGCCCAGCGCTGGAAAAAGGTAAGTTTTTACCCCTTTCCCCTTCCAGAGCCGGGCGGGAGGGGGTCCCTGAGGGTGGGGGCACCCTCAGGGCACTATAGTGCCAGGAAAACGAGTATGTTTTCCTGGCACTATAGTAGTCCTTTAAACATTGTAGAACTGGAGTTTCTGTACTAAGCAAATTGACATAAAAAGTACAATACTCGACATTCAAATGAATACTTTTGCAAGTGTACAAGTCATGGCGCACACAGCTTGGAATTAAAAAGCATAAAATTAATACAAATTGTTCTTACAAAATATGTATAGATTTTAAGTAAAAAAAAAGGTCCCCCCCGTCAATCAATTCTCAGTATGGAACTAGGTTGCCTACTTTCCAATTGACATATTTTAATAATGTTCTTCCTCTCTATTTCTGTCTTGCTTTAAAAATAAACTGCAAATACCTTTTTTATAAAACTATCAAGAAAGGACTTTTTTGTTAATCGTAGGAGTCATTTCACATGGATACATGGCTTTTACTCAGTCAAGATTGATTGTGTGGAGTTAATTTAAAAGCTTAAACAAATTTATAGTAAAAACAATGACACAAGTAATTAAAAATAAAAACAGAAATTTTACTCACCGTAAATTCTTATTTTTTATGACATATGGTGGCAGTACGTATGGGTTGTGCTTCCTAATTGGGACAAGCATCTACAAGATAGGTAATTAAGAAAAGTCCCTCCCCTTTACGCTATAAAGGGCTTCCCCTGGCAAACCCACCTCAGTCGTAGCAAGAATACACCTAAGCCACACACTGTAAACAAAATTGTAATTTAGGGGGAAGGAGATTTGTACTGCCACCATATTAACCCCTTAAGGACTGAGCCAAATGTACACGTTGTGAACGAAACAAAATGTAAACAAAACCTGGCATTTGCGCTACATGTCTGTCCAACTGTAATTCACCTCCTTCATATTAAATGCACCCACCCTTATTATATATCATTTTATTCAGGGGAAACAGGGCTTTAATTTAATATCAAATATTTAGCTATGAAACATAATTTAATATGAAATAAATTGGAGAAAATAAGATTTTTTTATTTTTTTAGTTCTACATGACATTTTAACTGTCAATATCATAATACTGTTTGCTTTTACAGCAATAAAATACACATATTTGTGTTCAGCAAAGTCTCACGTGTAAAACAGTACCCGCTATGTACAGGTTTTATGGCGTTTTGGGAAGTTACAGGGTCAAATATAGCACGTTACAATTGAAATTGAAATTCGCCAGACTGGTTACGTTGCCTTTGGGACTTTATAGTAGCCCAGGAAAGAAATTTACACCCATAATGGCATATCATTTGCAATAGTAGACAACCCAAGGTATTGCAAATGGGGTATGTCCAGTCTTTTTTAGTAGCCATTTGGTCACAAACCATGGCCAAAGTTGGCGTTAGTATTTGTTTGTGTGAAAAATGCAAAAACCGCCAATTTTGGCCAGTGTTTGTGACTAAGTGGCTACTAAAAAAGACTGGACATACCCCATTTGCAATACCTTGGGTTGTCTACTATTGCAAATGGTATGCCATCATAGTGGTAATTTTCATTCTTGGAGTACCATAGGGTCTCAAAGGCACCGTAACCAATTTGGCGAATTTTAATGTGAAAAAAATGAAACGCAAGCCTTATATTTGACGCTGTAACTTTTGAAAACACCATAAAACCTGTACATGAGGGGTACTGTTGTACTCGGGAGACTTCGCTGAACACAAATATTTGTGTTTCAAAACAGCAAAAAGTATCACAGCAATAAGATCATCCGTGTAAGTGCTGTTTGTTCATGAAAAACGTAAAAAAACTTCACTTTTACTGGCGATATCATCGTTTCTAGTACATTTTACTGTTTTGAAACACTAATATTTGTGTTCAGCGAAGTCTCCCGAGTAGAACAGTACCCCCCATGTCCAGGTTTTATGGAGTCTTGGAAAGTTATAGGGTTAAATATAGTGTTAGCAAATTAAATTCCCTTTACTTTCAGCATGGGTTGTCAGGCAGGTCCCGCTAATTGTAAGTAATTAAGATACCTAATTATGTAAAAATATTACATAAATATATATGTAGAATTAATATATATATATATAATATTTTTAAAATATTTTTATTTATTTATAGGTTTATATATATATATATATACGTATATATTTATGTATGTAGATATATATATTATTTCGTTCTACGTGTATTTTGATATAAATATATATATATATTAATATCACAATACAGTTAGAACGAAATAACACACATCTATATAATTTGTAATTATTTTTTTAATTATTTATTTAATTTTATTTTTTTAACGTATTTACATACTACATTTTTTTATATTATATATATAACAATAATTATATATATATTTATAAGTATCAGTCTACGTGTAATTTGATAATATATATATATATATATTATATATATATTAATAGTAAAATACACCTTAGATCATATATATATATATGATCTAAGTATATATATTATTTTTTTTTACACTTATTAATTTATTTTATTTTTATTTAAAGCCTGCAGGGGGACCACCTGTAATTACAAGCAGCCCCCCTGCTGGCAATACAGAAGCCAGCTAACCCGGTCATGTGATTGTGAGGTCCTCGCAAGGACCTCACTCTCACATGGCCGGGGGGCACCGGAGGAGGATCTACCGCGGGGGGGCTCCCTGGGAGTCCCCCCCACCGCGATCGCCGGCGTGGGACCTCCGGCGACCGGGTAAGTAAACAAAAACTGGAGGGCGTACAATTACGCCCGGCGGCGTTTAGAGCCGCTTAAAATAGGGCGTAATTGTACGCCCTACGGTCTTAAGGGGTTAAGAAACAATAAAACTATGGTAGATTATTTTTTTGTTTGTTTTTCTGACATATGGTGGCAGTAGGTATGGGATATAGCAAGATCCCCAATCAGGTGGTCCTTATGCCTAAACAGCTTGAAGTACCAATGTCCCAATGGAATTTTAGAGGCAGAGAGTACCACTAGGCTGAAAATGTATGACTTTTTTTTAAGGTGCTAAAAGCTGTCCAAGAAGCAGCCATGCTGATTACTTCGGGTGAAGCAAGAGGTTTCTCTGCCCACGAAGTGGCCATTGCCTTTGTGGAATGTGCTGAGAAAGATGCTGTCAAATCAAAACTACTGAAGCATAGGCCATTATGATTGACTTCATTCCCCTTAAACTTTCCTAGAAGTTGACAACAGGTGATCTGATTTTCTGAATTCAGCTGATACTGATATGTACAAATTTCCTTTTTTAACTCTAGAATATGCCATTTAGCTCCAGCAAGAGGGGGTGGCAAAATTCCAGAAGGATGAGCTGATTAACACGAACCTCAAAAAAAACAAAAAACTGTTTCCTGGAGAATACATTATATTCTCTGTATCCAACCGTGTTGCTGTAGTGCTCTGCTAGCTACCTGAACATACTTAAAGAGCAACCGTCTCGATTAGCAATAAGTAGCAAAACTCCCAAGTTGGGAATGCCTCGTTCCCTAAAATATGCTGCTACGGCAGTGTTTTGAAGAGCAATGAAATCTCTTCAATACACTTATTCTGGCATATTTTCAGAAAACATTTTGAGGGGTCACAATAGGGATATGTGGGAATATAGCTCTGATCTATATGCACAATGAAATTCCTTTATGCAGAATCAGAGTTACAGGAGCAGATGTTTCGATTCTGAACCTTTAGGAGAGGAACCAATCATTTACATTCATATCCGGTTGAAAGGAATGATCGTTTGATAACCAGAATATTCCTGAGGAACCCAACGAACTTCGTGGTTCACAGAACCATATCTCAAACTCCTTGAATCCAACAGGAACACAGTTTCTGTAAATAGAGTATCAGATGTTTGGAAGATTATGGCTTGGGCAGCTTTGAAAAGAGCAAGTGGTGCCCTCTTTAACTAGATCAAGAAACCAGGGATTGCAAGTAGGTTCTACTTAAAAGCCAGGCAAAAGACATTCAGATATATACTGGTTCCCAAATGCATCCTGGGAACGTTAAGTGGCTCCATTGAATGGTACTCCAGTCATCTACCTCAAAGGGATGAAGGACTATGTCAACCCTGCAGGGGAAATGAACCTGTGAACCCCCAAGGGTTGAACAAGGTCTAAACCCATTGAGCTATCCACACTTAGTATAGAAATGCAGGATTACGCCTCCAAGCTCCTTGTTGTCCAAAACACCTACCCATGTCGCTTTTTTCCTTGTTCGACATAGGTTATAAAAGATACCGCTTTCCCTAATGGGAGTAAACAGGGGACTGAAAAGGACGCTGATCTGCCGTCCAAGCTTAAGCCACCAGAATATATAAGAAACAGCAGATCAACCCATGCTCTTGGCTGACATTGTCAAATTTTATTAGTCAAATCCATATAAAGTATGTGACAATCAAAATAAAACAGGAAACTGACGAGCTGTTCATCAGGAGACTTAAATAACCTCCATTAATGATTGTAAACAAAGTTATAAGTTTTGGACACCGCTGCACCTGCCAGCAAAGACCCATACCGAAAACCAGCAGTCTGGAAAGATCATCTGCAAGAGGTCTCAGCCTTCTTGACGACAGGGTTATTAAAGCATCTACTTCTGCAGAATTTTATGGATTCCCAGTGTACCTGGGTGTGTAACATTTACCCATTTGATGGAACAAACGCCGGGCTAGAAAGGCTCATTATACAGAGTGTTCCAATTTTTGCAAGTAGAAAGACAAGGAACAGATAACCCTCATCAAAAGTTTAGCAGATTTATCCTGCCCCATGATCGATTCATTCCTAATTAACCTTCTCAGTAAATCAGGTGGGAACCAACTCCATACAGTATGATGAACCAGACATGTCTTAAGAATAGGTAGATAAACATTCGCCAGACATTAGTAATCGAAGGACGCTTCTCTTCTGTCTCTGCCGAACATCTCAGGCAGAGCAGCTGATACACTATTTGATTCTCTATAAGAATTCAAAGATAGCAATGATTGCATATTCTCTGCTTAATTTTATCAAAGAAATTGCAGCAACTTGGTCATATTTATAAACCCCAGAACCATATTAAGGGGAGTAGCACAGATACAACAAGCAAAAGCCTTGTATAGCAGAGGCATTCCACTGTGTACAAACAGTCCATTTTGCACATACAGTCCACTGTCTGCAAAACAATTCCATCCATAACTTGCAATTTTAATCAGAACAGATTTTCAAAGCAAAGATCAGCTAATCTTACCTTGAAAACCTATGAGCCGTGTGGGGTGGTGGTGACACGAGGAACCCTTCTGACAAGTTTCCTGCTGCCAGAGGGAACAGCACAGCGATCCGCACTCAGTGGTTTCCCGGAAGTTCCGGTTCGTGCATGCGCAATAGCGCTGGAACTTCGGAGGAACGCAACACCACCCGGGTGTGCGTTCCACCGCTGTGTGCAGGCGCACGGCCTGCAACATAATGAAGGCGTCCCCCGGCCCACCTATACTCACCAAGCCAGAACATACGTGGCGCAATGTTAAACAGAAAGGGCTCCGGAACCTTCACGGATGGAGCCATGTCGCTCAGCCTACCACCCGGGCAGCTATCGCGCTTCCAGCAACCTGTGTGCCTCACCTTAACCCCTTAAGGACACATGACGGAAATATTCCATCATGATTCAGTTTTATTCCAGAAGTTGTATCATTAAGGGGTTAAACAGATGCTTGATCCGTCCCGTGCTGAGACAAGGAGGAACAGAGGTGGGTTTGGCGGGGGAAGCCCTTTAAAGGTTAAAGGGAAGGGACGTTTCTTAATTACCTAACTTGTCCCAATTAGGAAGCACAACCCATACGTACGGCCACCATATGTCAAAAAACAAATGTTCCAGCATTTACAGAAGACTCCAACATGGATTAGTTAAAGCAACAACATAAAAAGTGCATTTGTTCATGGAAATGCTTCAATTGGTAGAATATATATTCATGTGCATTAATTTACAAATGGTGTTCAGAACTTATTTAACATGAGAAAAACTGAGGAATTTCCAACTCTCATGTTGCATATTATTAAATATTTGTTTTGCTACCCTCAATGCACAGAAGTGGATTGTGAGGAGAATACTAAATAAGACATTTAACAGAGAGCAAAAACAAAAACAACAAAAACCTACCTGTGCTAAAATTGACAGAATTCCCACCACAGCTATAAATGCGGCAATGCTGCCCGGATTAAAACCTATGATCTGCAAGAAAAATAAAATTATTCTATCAATTTATGAAGTATTAGGAAAAAAAAAGTTAGATATTTTAAAATTAAACAAATAAGTAAACGCAAATGGATTATGTTTTTCATTCTAATTAGCTCTGTAGTAATAAACCTTTACTTAGAAATTTGACAGCTCCTTAATTCCTTCATTCTAGTAAATACTACTGAGCGGTTCACTGGGGTGAAGATTGCTGTCCAAGTAAATATTCTTGCATGCGTCCTGGGCAATTCAGTGTAGAACACTCGGACACTAAGCACCGGAGACATTAACTTAAAAGTTTCCGATATATATCCTTGCCTTTCTGCAGGCGTGCTCTGCCTTGCAACATCAGGTGAGATAAGGCACTCTTGGTGGGTGTGGCAAAAAGTCATATTGAGAACACATTGCACAGCTTAGTTTGAGCTAAAGGGCTGTAGAGAAAATCCCTCCTCAATTCCAAGTTTTAAATAGAATATACAGGGACTCAAACATATTCAGTCCCCGAACCTCCAATCAGGCAAGAGGGGTTGAGGGTTATCCATGGTCCAGATTCAGTACTTCTTTATACCATACGTAAGCTTGTATCATGGCCTATAGAGCCAATACTCGTTATGATGTTGCATGAGGTTGATATTAAGGAAGTACAAAAAAAAAAAATATTCCCACCCCATGAATATTTTCACGTGCGTCGCCGTTGTGATGACACACGCACATTTGCATCATTAACTGAGGAGACAAAGCCTTTAAAAGGTTCCGGCATAATGCGGGCATCAGGAGGAGGAATGGCAGCACTGGAGAGGAACGTGGGTGACTTACAACTTTCTTGGTTATATCAGCACAAATCCCAGGCGCCAGGTTGCCATGGCGACTAATAATGTAGTCAGCCCTTCAGTGGCGCCGAGGAACCAGCAATCTTCTCGCAGTTCCTCTGTGCCCCACTGGACCTCAATGAAAGATCCACTCAGCTCTCCCAAAGGTAGGAAGGCTGGGTAAAATGTAAATAAAAAAAAAATAAAATATATATATATATATATATATATATACATATATATATATATATATAAACAAACAATAGTGTGTGTGTGTGTGTGTGTGTATATATATATATATATATCTATCTATATCGGTTTAGATTACACACCCCCGATCAGATTAGAAAGTTGTTTTTACTAATCTTATTTCCCCCCACGTAGTGCCGGCCTCGCGGTGGCTGGTCAGGCCTCCAATCTTGATTATCTAAGCCAGGGGTTCTCAACCCAGTCCTCAGGACCCCCTACCAGTCCAGGATTTGGGGATTACCTAGGTGTGTCTCAGGTGTTTAGAAAAAGGGAAAATAACACCTTAGACTCTAAGGTGTTTTTTTTTTTCTAAACACCTTAGACACACCCAGGTAATCCCTAAACCCTGGACTGGTAGGGGGTCCTGAGGACTAACGTTGAGAACCCCTGATCTAAACTAAGCCAGCATCTCATCATAGAGATTCACTGAACCATTACATCTCTATGAGGAACATTAAGTGCCTCCATGCATAGCGTGGAGACTATGAAAGTCGGTGTTGTACACAGTGCCACACTAGACTAAATATCACCTTTAGTGGCCGTCTGAGTGTCAATAGAAGTGTTACTAGGCAGTGGTTCTATGAAAAGGCAGTGCTTATGTTAAACAGGATATAGACTACAGAACCACTACATTAAGCTGCAGTGGTTCTGGTAACTATAGTGTCTCTTTAAGAATTGTTTTGAAATTTTGTTAGTTTAAAAGAAAACTGGCTCCTAACTTTTTTTTTTAGCTAGCTCCTAGACTCCAAGCAAATTCATCAAGGTTATTGTGACAGTAGTTACCATCACCTCGGGTTTCATAAGGACATTTTATGTAGGACCCTGGACTACTCCTATATCACCCTGTGTCCACTGTGGGTGCACGGTGTGTGTGTATAATGTGGTTGTTTGGGGTTAAATGTTAGTGTGTTCTCCTGTGTTGTTAATGCTTGCAATCAACTAGGTGCATTTGGCTGTGGAGCCTGTACAGCGCCACCTGTTGGTTGCAAGGATCTACCTGAATAGCAAGGGTTGCTAATTTGCCTATTCGTGTAGATGTGCATATTGCTAATTCTGCAGGCAGGAGAGATATGTTCTGTTAATTAGTGTCTTCCCCCATCCCTTTATAAATATGTTATTATGCTATTATAATTTCCTGTATTTTTTGTGACATGTTTTCGTTATTTGTTTTTTCTTATGTTTGTCCCAGCAATGTATATGTAATGAATATATGGGCTAGTCCCAAGTAAAATAAAGTATTGTATGCTCGTTCCATTTGGAACGGTGTCCTGTGTGGATTTGTCGTACCTGCCTGGAAGAAGGGCTGCAGCGGAATAGGCATGGGGGAAAATACCTGCCTGGAAAAAGGACTTCAGGAGAATGGGCAGGAGGGACGATACCTGCCTGGAAGAAGAGCTGCAGCAGAATAGACAGAGGGGACAATATCTGCCTGGAGGAAGAGCTGCAGCCTGGTCGTGTGGAAAAGCTCCAGAAGGACCCCAGTCAAGCCACGGCAAAGAGGAGCAGTTTTACCCAGTTCCAGCTAGGAAGCGATCCTGGGCGGAGGAACCCAGCCGGGGTACAGGGAGCTCCGCTACAGTTATATTATTCACAATATCATCTATCTACTGTTACAAAGAAATCCTTCGATATTAAACAATGCATCACTTGCCATTCCAAGCAAGTTATTTATCTTTTAGGTTGTCCATGTGGACTGCAATATGTAGGACAAACCAAAAGGATGTTAAAAACCAGATTAAATTAAATATATATAAACATCAAAATAAAATTTGAAAAGCATTCATTGTCTAAACATTTCATGGAATACCATGGAAGTGACCCAGGTTGCCTAAATTTTTGTGGAATAGAGAATGTCAGTGTTCCGTGGAGAGGGGGAGAACTGTCCACAAGATTAATTTATCAGGTAATGTCTTGGATTTATGGTTTGAAAACTTTGGCTCCATCAGGAATAAATGTAGATCTTGAACTCCTTAACATCACATGACCAGTCTTTGTATATAGTGTTCAGGATGAGATCCTTTTCACATATAGTGAGCCATATCTATCAACTTTCTATATAGGTAGTTTGACATAAGATCTGTCCAAGCATCCAAAGTTTTTTTTTTTCCCACATTGCTCATCTATATGCTCTTTTGGATTTAGAATGCACATTCAGAATTATCACAGGATGGAAGTTCATTATAAATTATATACAGATTGTGTTAAGTATTCTCTGATTTATATTTGTTTATCCACCATTTTTTATTCATCAATACGTTTTACTTAATTTTTGTTTAATTATCCTTTATATATTTAGATTCAATTTTTTATTTTTATTTTTTATCTTTTGTCCATTTAAATGTGTAGTGGAAATATATCCACATAAATGTCACAGATGTCTATATTTTGCAAAATAAACAAGCAAATAGCTATATGCTCTACAAGACATTACTGTGTAGATTATATACATTTATTTCTATAATTGAATATTAGAGAATGAATACCTATGTTTGCATTCTCAGGAAGCCATTTACCATTTTTTGGGCAACATCTCTACAGGGAGTGCAGAATTATTAGGCAAGTTGTATTTTTGAGGATTAATTTTATTATTGAACAACAACCATGTTCTCAATGAACCCAAAAAACTCATTAATATCAAAGCTGAATATTTTTGGAAGTAGTTTTTAGTTTGTTTTTAGTTATAGCTATGTTAGGGGATATCTGTGTGTGCAGGTGACTATTACTGTGCATAATTATTAGGCAACTTAACAAAAAACAAATATATACCCATTTCAATTATTTATTATTACCAGTGAAACCAATATAACATCTCAACATTCACAAATATACATTTCTGACATTCAAAACAAAACAAAAACAAATCAGTGACCAATATAGCCACCTTTCTTTGCAAGGACACTCAAAAGCCTGCCATCCATGGATTCTGTCAGTGTTTTGATCTGTTCACCATCAACATTGCGTGCAGCAGCAACCACAGCCTCCCAGACACTGTTCAGAGAGGTGTACTGTTTTCCCTCCTTGTAAATCTCACATTTGATTATGAACCACAGGTTCTCAATGGGGTTCAGATCAGGTGAACAAGGAGGCCATGTCATTAGATTTTCTTCTTTTATACCCTTTCTTGCCAGCCACGCTGTGGAGTACTTGGACGCGTGTGATGGAGCATTGTCCTGCATGAAAATCATGTTTTTCTTAAAGGATGCAGACTTCTTCCTGTACCACTGCTTGAAGAAGGTGTCTTCCAGGAACTGGCAGTAGGACTGGGAGTTGAGCTTGACTCCATTCTCAACCCGAAAAGGCCCCACAAGCTCATCTTTGATGATACCAGCCCAAACCAGTACTCCACCTCCACCTTGCTGGCGTCTGAGTCGGACTGGAGCTCTCTGCCCTTTACCAATCCAGCCACGGGCCCATCCATCTGGCCCATCAAGACTCACTCTCATTTCATCAGTCCATAAAACCTTAGAAAAATCAGTCTTGAGATATTTCTTGGCCCAGTCTTGACGTTTCAGCTTGTGTGTCTTGTTCAGTGGTGGTCGTCTTTCAGCCTTTCTTACCTTGGCCATGTCTCTGAGTATTGCACACCTTGTGCTTTTGGGCACTCCAGTGATGTTGCAGCTCTGAAATATGGCCAAACTGGTGGCAAGTGGCATCGTGGCAGCTGCACGCTTGACTTTTCTCAGTTCATGGGCAGTTATTTTGCGCCTTGGTTTTTCCACACGCTTCTTGCGACCCTGTTGACTATTTTGAATGAAACGCTTGATTGTTCGATGATCACGCTTCAGAAGCATTGCAATTTTAAGAGTGCTGCATCCCTCTGCAAGATATCTCACTATTTTTGACTTTTCTGAGCCTGTCAAGTCCTTCTTTTGACCCATTTTGCCAAAGGAAAGGAAGTTGCCTAATAATTATGCACACCTGATATAGGGTGTTGATGTCATTAGACCACACCCCTTCTCATTACAGAGATGCACATCACCTAATATGTTTAATTGGTAGTAGGCTTTCGAGCCTACACAGCTTGGAGTAAGACAACATGCATAAAGAGGATGATGTGGTCAAAATACTCATTTGCCTAATAATTCTGCACTCCCTGTATACATATAATTTATAGATGCAGAACTTCTCAGTCAAGGTCTTTTTTGCATTGACAAACTACAACAATTTTTTTTAATACTTGTTTATCGTGTAATTTATGTATTTCTTTTATTGTATTTTATTGAAATTTATTTTGGCATAATTTTTGTGGAGATAGAACATTAGTATTTATGGCATACTGTGTTTCAATTAGGAATGTTTATATGTATAACATGTATAATGAAAAATTATACCAGCAGTCTGCCATTAATAGATTTGAGAGGAACGTATATAAGAACGCTCCCAACAGCCGACACTATCTTGAGAAAGCCCAGTACAGCGGGCAAAACGCGTTGAAGTGCGATCGGCATTCACAATCAGAGGTCTGAGGATTACAGCCTGCTAGCATCGATTCTAAACTAAGATCTCCTGTCTGCACGAACACTCAGACTATTCAGCGCTGAGATCGGGCGTGATTTTGCATTGCAGTGACCGTGGATGGTAAACGGCTGTCAAGCCTCTGAATCATTTAAGTGTTTATGTGGTATCTTGGAGACGAGTACCACTACTTGTTCATGTAAGGGTTTTTATTTGGGGGAGAGGGAATCTTTTTATATGAATAATATCCTATGGAAAGCTTTTTTGTATCCTTTTAAAGTACACCCTTCACTGAGCTACAGTGTATCCATAGATGTTACATCTCTGCTGCAAGACAAGATTAACCTCTTAAAGACTTTCACCCAGGACTTTTTGGACCCTTGAGCAAGTTTTATACATATATTTTTTTGTGTGTGTAATCAAACTTCTTGTGGTACATATGGTCTGATATATATATATTATCAACCCACAATTATAAGTTGTTGGTTTCCATACTTATATTGATCGACTAATGTAATGTTATAGCGCTGACACTCATTTTTGCAATCATCTATCTACTACACACTGCTCAAAAAAATAAAGGGAACACTTAAACAAAACAATGTAACTCCAAGTCAATCACACTTCTGTGAAATCAAACTGCCCACTTAGGAAGCAACACTGAGTGACAATCAATTTCACGTGCTGTTGAGTAAATGGGATAGACAACAGGTGGAAATTATAGGCAATTAGCAAGACACCCCCAATAAAGGAGTGGTTCTGCAGGTGGTGACCACAGACCACTTCTCAGTTCCTATGCTTCCTGGCTGATGTTTTGGTTTACTTTTGAATGTTGGTGGTGCTTTCACTCTAGTGGTAGCATGAGACGGAGTTTACAACCCCCACAAGTGGCTCAGGTATTGCAGCTCATCCAGGATGGCACATCAACGCGAGCTGTGGCAAGGTTTGCTATGTCTGTCAGCGTAGTGTCCAGAGCATGGAGGCGCTACCAGGAGACAGGCCAGTACAGGAGACGTGGAGGAGGCCGTAGGAGGGCAACAACCCAGCAGCAGGACCGCTACCTCCGCCTTTGTGCAAGGAGGAACAGGAGGAGCACTGCCAGAGCCCTGCAAAATGACCTCCAGCAGGCCACAAATGTGCATGTGTCTGCTCAAACGGTAAGAAAGACTCCATGAGGGTGGTATGAGGGCCCGACGTCCACAGGTGGGGGTTGTGCTTACAGCCCAACAGCATGCAGGACGTTTGGCATTTGCCAGAGAACACCAAGATTGGCAAATTCGCCACTGGCACCCTGTGCTCTTCACAGATGAAAGCAGGTTCACACTGAGCACGTGACAGATGTGACAGAGTCTGGAGACGCCGTGGAGAACGTTATGCTGCCTGCAACATCCTCCAGCATGACCAGTTTGGCAGTGGGTCAGTAATGATGTGGGGTGGCATTTTATTGGGGGGCCGCACAGCCCTCTATGTGCTCTCCAGCCCTCCATGTGACTGCCATTAGGTACCGAGATGAGATCCTCAGACCTCTTGTGAGACCATATGCTGGTGCGGTTGGCCCTGGGTTCCTCCTAATGCAAGACAATACTAGACCTCATGTGGCTGGAGTGTGTCAGCAGTTCCTGCAAGACGAAGGCATTGATGCTATGGACTGGCCCGCCCGTTCCCCAGACCTGAATCCAATTGAGCACATCTGGGACATCATGTCTCGCTCCATCAAACAACGTCATGTTGCACCACAGACTGTCCAGGAGTTGGCAGATGCTCTAGTCTAGGTCTGGGAGGAGATCCCTCAGGAGACCATCAGACACCTCATCAAGAGCATGGACAGGCGTTGTAGGGAGGTCATACAGGCACGTGGAGGCCACACACACTACTGAGCCTCATTTTGACTTGTTTTAATGACATTACATCAAAGTTGGATCAGCCTGTAGTGTGTTTTTCCACTTTAATTATGAGTGTGACTCCAAATCCAGACCTCCATGGGTTGAAAAATTTGATTTCCATTTTTTTATTTGTGTGATTGTTGTCAGCACATTCAACTATGTAAAGAACAAAGTATTTCAGAAGAATATTTAATTCATTCAGATCTAGGATGTGTTATTTTTGTGTTCCCTTTATTTTTTTGAGCAGTGTATTTAACTGATGTCATTTCACAGCTTATCCTTGTGGGTTAAATTAACGCTTGTTGATAAAAGGATTCCCTTACTTGTAAAAATGTACACCTTATAGTGTGAGGCATACAAGAAACCTTTAAATAAGCTATAAAAGAAGGTTGTAGATGAACAGTGTGTTTTTTATTTTATTTTTTGCCTAACAGGAGTGTTGGAAGAAATTCTACTTTAAAGAGATTATTGTAGGCAACTGTAATAATAATCTATTGCATGCAGTAGATTAAAAACAGTTTAAGGCAATGAATGGAATAAATTACCGGTGAAATTGACATTGCTAATATGGAAGAGGAACTTACTTCACCATGAAGTGTTTATAGTGCTTAGATTGATGATTTAATCAATACCACTTGCAGTTAAAATGAAAAAGTATAACATTAAAACCATAATGTGTTTACAACCAAAATGCACACAGTGTGATGTCTGACTCCTTATAATGGTTTGTATGTTTTGATCATTGAACCTTAACTAGGAGGCAATCAAAATAAGGTAAGAATTAACATTACTACTAGAGAAAAAAGAAAAATCACTGTTTGTTAAATTATTTTAATATTCATTTTACTTTATAGTAAATTAGTGTGCAAATAATGTAAAATTAGATATTAGCTGCTTTCCAAACTTACCTGTCTTAAGTAGAGGAAAAAGCTGGAATATTGCCCAGCTTCTGGTAAATAAGAAAAGAAGACTGTGATACAAATCAGAAGAACTGTGGAGTCTTTCCCAACTTTTTTCAATGACTAAAAGAGAAAACAAAAACATAATATATTTTAAATTCATGAATATTGAATGTGAGTATCATATATAACCCCTAGCCTACCAAGCATGTTTTTTTTGTCTCCACTTGATAAAGTCATTATAGGTGAAACATGTTGTGGATATTGTATATATTTTATTCTGTATTCCAAATAAAGGTATTTTGGCTACTTTTAAATCACTGATTGTGCCATTTTACTCTTTTATGTATTATTTTTGCTTGGTATCCTGATTTTATCTTTCCTGCTGTGTATTACTCCAAAGACATCCGAGGTGGGGATTATACCACTCACGCCTAAGTCATTGAGCAGTCCGTGTGCTCAATCCTATGTGAGTACACATTTTATTATTTATACTCCTTACATAAGATTTTATACAGAGAGCACTATTAGTTGTCTCTCTTCTCGCTTATGATCTACATATCGGCAAAAGACTTAACCCTCTACACGCATCCTACAAGCGGGGATTATACCGCTGTATGTTATTCATACTAGAGCTGGCTTAAGCTCTACTAAACGTGAGTAGGACTGTATTAGACTCCGTTATATACACTATCTTTACCCGACGTACTGCCCTATCATCTGTCTTTCTCTTCCACATACGGAGTAAAAGACCAATACTTCTCTATGTATCCTATAAGTGGGGATTGTACCGCTGTATGCCATCCACACTAGAGCTAGTTCAGCTCTACTACACGTGAGTAGGATTACTATAGATCTCTTCTTCCTGCATATCCACCTTCTTATCAGACGTACTTGCACTATTATTTGTTTCTTTCTTTACATACAGATCCTGAAAAGCCATCTTCAAGTGACCCTTAGAGCGAATACTCCTCCACATAGGCCGTCGGTGCCCCATCAGGCCCAACTAAAGACTTTGGTTTGGCACCACTTACACTTGGGACTTTGTTCATTTTAGCTGCACTTTCGTCAGCTTTGGCGCAACCTTCTTCTGTTTTGTCTTGCATATTACCTTTGTTCATAGGGCTCAGAGGGAACCCTATTTTTAGGTTACTGCCTCCTACTTTACCTATTTATAGGATTGGTCTATTTTAGCGCTATTACCTTCTTTTGTACATTTCTATTAAATCAGCTTTGTCAACTTCAAAGACTTTGCACATTTTGCAGAGAGTCCAGAAGGTGGTTTGCCCATTTATTTTATGACAGTCTGAAGGTAGATACACAAGCACCCTTATAGGTACTGCCATTTTTTTTCACAAGAGTATAAAACAGACATCCCTGGAGGATCCTGTGAGATACTCCATAAACCAACTGTCTTGGTGTGCGAGTTTCCTAGCTTAAATGGAAAGAGAGACACTGTAGTGTTTGTAATACAGCTTTCTATTCGTAACACTATAGTTTTCCTTTAAAGGCAGCAACCCCAACTTTTCTCAAGCTCTGTCAACTTAGGCGATAAGACAAAGTAGCCTGTATTTTGTATTATATCTTTTGATTACATTGTAGTTTCAAAGCAATTGCAAGCAGTCAACATGTATGTTTCATTTAAAAAAAATATCTTTATGAAATACTCTAAAATTGCAGTAGGTTACTTTAAATAATGTTCCTTGATTAAAGCATATGCCAAATACGTAGAAGAGAATATTAAATATGTGCTGCATTATGTACCAAGTTTAAGTCAGTACAAAACATAGTCCCTGCTGAGTGCTGTACACCAAAATTGCTTTATTAAGCTACATTTGTTCTGGTGCTTATAATGTCACTTTAACGCTAAACTATCAACTGACAGTTTTACACAGTTTCTCAAAAAAAAAAAAAAATGAAAAAAACTGAACCAAAGATCTTGGTAGATGTTTCCATTGTTGAATCACATGCCAATGCCATCAACTGGAATCAAGGTACTTTTATCCTGTGATGGCCCTGGAATATCTGCCTTTTAGCTATATTTCACATGTGTATTATTACATTGCAACAAAAGAAACCATTTACTTACTCTTGCAAACACATACACAACATAACTGGAATAAGTAGAGAGGAGGAAAAAAAAAAAAAAAGCAAAAAAGATAAATAAAAATTTCCATATAAAATAAATCAAATCCTTACTGCAAATGGGTCAGCCTGCTCCCAGGAGATCGGAGCTCCCCATGAAGTAGGTCTCATTTTCTCTCGGAGAGATTCTGGCACGACTAACAAGATGAAACAGACATCCAAGAGTGCAACAACAGTCGCCACAAGAACAACAAGATTATCCCCGTAATATTCAGAGATATAAGCACCAATTGCTGGGCTGGTCACAAGACTTGCTGCAAATGTAGCAGATACCTAAAATATATGCAAGAATAAACATTTTTTTTTTAAAAATATATATTTTTGTGCAGAAAAAAATAGCATTAACCCAGGATTATTCACTAAAGTGAGAAATTGAAGTGGTGAGAGGGGCAGTGACAAAGACGCTATACAACAAATTATTTTTTTCCTTTAAGGTAATATTAGCCAAAATTAAAAGATTCAGCTATACTTCCAATTCTGCTTCTCTGGCCTTACATTTGATCATTCACTTTAGTGAATAGGCATGTAATGCTCTTGTTTAATAATTCAATCAATTCTAACCAGGAATAAATTGACATGAAGTGAACACCCCAAATTACCTGCAAATGTATAGCCAAGGTTCACATATCCTCATAAAAGGATGCTGATATTATATATCCAAAAACCCAGATATGCAAAAGTTCTCTTACCAGTCCATAAGCTGTACTTCTTTCATGTTCCTGTGTTATGTCCGCAACATAAGCAAATATTACAGAAAATGTAACAGAGAATGCCCCAGATACAGAAATCATAGCAAAATACCACCTGTCAAGTAAAGAGGCAACAATTAGTAACATGTTTTTCTTATTGAATGCAATAGTATCAGCATCCCCTTTTATTTCTGCATCTCTAGCCACCCCTAGCTGTGACTCAAACAACCTTCATTAAAAAAGCTTTAATTTTCAATTCAATCTCATAGCACACAGTGATTACTATAGAAATTCTGATATCCTGTTCTGTTAAAGGGACACTATAGTCACCAGAACAACTTTAGCTTAATGAAACAGTTTTGGTGTATAGAACATGCCTCTGCAGTCTCAATGCTCAATTATCTGCCATTCGGGAGTTAAATCACTTTGTTTATAAACGCTAGTCACACCTCCCTGCATGTGACTTGCCTAGCCTTGCTAAACACTTCCTGTAAAGAGTCATCTAATGTTTATCCTTCCTTTATTGCAAGTTCTATTTAATTTAGATTTTCTTATCCCTAACTATATTTATAGCTTGCTAGACCCTGTACGAGTCTCCTGTATGTGATTCAAGTTCAATTTACAGAGCAAGAGATAAAATTGTTTAAGGTAAATTATATCTGATTGAAATTCAAACCAGTTTTTTTTCACGCAGGCTGTGTCAATCAGAGCCATCGGAGGTGTGGCAAGGGCTTCATAAAAAGAAACAAAGTGATTTAACGCCTAAATGGCAGTGAAGTGAGCAGTGAAACCTGTTGAGAGGCATGGTCTATACACTAAACAGTTTCATTAAGCTAAAGTTGTTTAGGTGACTATAGTGTTCCTTTACGAAAACTTTAATCACACACAAGGTTTCTCTAGGAGGTAATTAAAGCAGGAGACAATAAATTCTAAATTAAACACACTATGGAATAAGGGAAGCTAAATTTTCAATGAGTGGAGGGGGAGCACTGTGTGCGTCTCAGCCAGGGGAAGTGTGGCTATGGCTGCATAAAGAAAGTGATTTATATCCTAAATAGCAGATAATGGACTAGTGAGACTATACACCAAAACCACTTTGACTAAACTAAAACGGTGTTGTTGCTTAGAGTGTCCCTTTAAAGGGTTAATGTGATTACATTTTCAGAAATGTAAAAGCTTAAAGGCGAGTTGGTATTACTCTAGAAAACAGACATTTAAGCCTACTGATACTAAATATTAAAAAACATTTTTTTTAAATTGTTAAACCAACATTTGCTTTTTTTTTTTACCAGACTCTAAATCGGGCTGTTAGCCTTTGTATTGTCATTAGGATACATTCAATAAATTTTTCAACAAACCGCAAGTAATACCAAAACAAGTCAGATGTTTTCAAAGCTCCATAAGTGAAGCATAACATATTGGTTAAACAAGAGGTTGTTACTGTTTTTTTTCCCTAACCTGTAGACAATACTGGAATTGCAAAATTTAATTAAAGCAGCTTCTCACTACTCACCATGGACTTATCCTCATTAGTGGGATTGGAAAACAAGTAAAGATAACAGTGACAAGAAGGAAAGATTTTCTTCCGTATACGTCTGATAACGCACCTATTAGAGGAGCACTCATAAACGATAAAAAGCCCTGCAGAGTAAAGATTACAAAAATTAGCACTCACATACAGCTAAACGATTACATGTTAACTGTAAATTTGGCATTTATAAAAAATAGTCTGTTGGAGTGAATACAAAACGATGCATAATATATTAGTAGAATTAGCATTTCTAATGAGTTTTAACAGATATTCATTCATGTTCCACATATTGTCTTTCAAAGTTAGGGAAAAAAAATGTAAGAGGCTGCTGTACTATCAAGTTACAGAAAAATTAATTTATGCTGAGTACATCAATTCTGCTTGAACAATGTGCACCATGGATATACAAGCTTCAGCCCTCCAGCTGCCAGGTAAAAAAAAAAAATGATCAGGCAGAAAGCACACAGCCATTTGAGGATGGCCACAATTTAAAAACAGCTGCAGTGCTGGAGATTGTCCATCGCTCGCGTGCATCATGTATACCCAACAATGTGTGACAAGCTTTGCTGGCCAGATGGAATTACGACATAAAATCCTCTCACAGCAAGTGAAAGTCTGTTCATAAGAGAAATTGTGTTTTCAAACTACTCATTCAAAAATGTAAAAGGCTAAAAGAAATAGATTAATGTAAATAGTGATAGTTAAAACAAAAAAAATACTACCGATAAACCCTCCCTTCACCCCCTCCCCCCCACACTCCAAAAAAACCCTCCAAAAACTACATTTATAATGTTTTTTGTGGCCATCATCAAGGTGGATAATTAAAACAACAGGAAAAAATATACAAATAGGATAAAAGAGTATAATTTCATTTTGAATCAAAAACACTCCACACAGCTCAATGAAGATATGAACGGTGCAAATAACTACTTTTATGCTAGTCAACAGTATACCAATGTCATTATTTAAACTGACCACATACTTATCCACAAAGAAGCATAATTGGTGTGTGCTCAAAGGGTTAGTCCAGCCACTACCAATACTTCTGCATTTAGAAGTGGCCATGGTACTAGGAGTATGTAAGTGCAGCATTTCTGTTTTAAACACTGCACATACAGACATATTTGCAATGCACTTTTTCACATGCTCCACCTCTGTGCCGATCAGCTGAATATCAATTCTGTTCACGCGCACTTCCAGCGAGGGTAGAAGCTGGTGACAGATGTTATCGGCTTCTACTCTAGCTGGCCATGTGCCTGCAAGGGGAAGCTTAAAAGTCCCCTCCCCTCCTACATGACCCCTATCTAGTATTAGGCCATTTTTCTAAAATGGATGTTTAAATTCTACCCTGTGTCTACTTCCCACTACCTGCCTTCCCTTTCTCAGATGCATGTGCTCTGAGCCAGAGAAAACGATCCAATTAAATGCTTCTCAATGAGAGGCATTTAATTGGACCTCACAACGGAGACAGTGAGGTTAGACCTGGGTGCAAAAGCCAGCATGGGGAGCTATACTCAACATCGGGTTCCAGATAAGCTTGTTCTTGGTTTACAGGTTTATAAGTGGGAGGGACCTAATTGCTAATGCTTAACAAGGCATTGTACATTTATGTAAAAAGGAGAGTAGAAGAAGAAAAAAAAAAACACAACAAAGTCACTTTTATGTTGTTCTTAGTATAGCACCATTAGAAAAAATTATATTATTCTCAAACCATCTAATATTTTCACTATGCTTAAAGGAACACTATAGTCCCGACAACAGCTACAGGTTATTGTATTTCTTCTGGTGAGAAGAATCATTCCCTTCAGGCTTCAGTGCAGCATTGCAGTTCAGCATCTTCAAGCTCTGCATGGAGACGATGAATTTTCCTCAAAGAGATGCATTGATCCAATACATCTCTATGAGGTAGTGCTGACTGGCCAAGCCGGCGTTTAGCCCAGCCACTGTCGCGCCTTCTTGGCGATTCAAGCCAATCCAGTGCCAATTGGCTAAAAATAATAAATTCTGAGGTCAGCAAGAAGGCGGATAGGGGGCATGGCCAGCGATGGTGGACCAGCACGGCGCTGGAAGATAAATACATTTTATTACCTTTTAAGTGGGATAAGCGAAGGCAAGCCACCTAATTGGTAATTTTACCACTATAGAGTCAGGAATACATATTAATATACATTTTAATGCACATGTACTACATGAACGGTTTTAGGAGTATAATTTCAGCACAAGGAATAACCATCATTACTAAACATTTGAAATAAATGGTAAAATATGAAGTGAATAAAGAGTTAAAATTAGGAATATAATTGAGGGAAATCGATTTATATTTCCGCTAACTACATGCTTTCAGATCATTTCACCATGATGGGGTATTTTTGCTGCAGGCAAATGAAATAGGTGTGTGCAGCCTAAAGTCTCTACAGCTGTATCAGATTTTATATCCAAATCCCACTTGCACATATTTCTTCAAAGAAAGGGCTTGCAAACAATCCAATGTTGAAAACTGGGGTGAGAGCCAAGTTGTGATTCATCGGTTTCAAAATGGATGTAGAAAATGGGTTTTGTTGTATTTAACTAGATTTACTTTTTTCCCCATTTGAGTTCAATTAGTTGTGCAAGAAGACGTATAGGTTAAATTTAATATTAAAACTTTGAAATCTGAAAGATTTGGGTAACAAATTCAGGTAGACCCCAGTTCTTGGAGTTTTAAAGTGGCTCAGCCACCATAAATAAACTAAAAATAATTTAATCTGCTTCTATATAAGCACCTTGTTTCTGTGTAAGAGGTGATTTTACTAGTATGTATGGAGGTCATGTTGACAAAACTTGTCTAAAGGTGGATCCCTGATTAAAACAAAACCTAACATTTGACTTCCAGTCTTTCTAGAAGTCACTTGATAACAAACCCTGGCCAAAGTGAGCATTCATATTTGTGTTTTTTGACATTTTTCACACAAAAAACAGCACTTTCACTGATGATATAATCAAATTTTAAAACACTATTTTGTGTCCAGCAAAGCCTTCCCAAGTACAATACTACCCCCCATGTAGGTTTGAGTTTGATAACTATACACTATTTAACCTCATAATACGAAAAATTGTTAGATGTGTTGGTGGAGGAGTGTCAAATGCTTATTTGTGCACCTGCTCAGCATTGTCAGTCTTCCAGTATTGCTTTGGAATCCACTTTCTTTGTTCTTGATTCAAGTTCTCTGTCATCATTCACAATAACAGTAAAGAAAAATTATTCTTTTATCTGCCCTCCACTATTCTTTCCACCTGCCATACTGATATTTAAATTCTTGAAATTTAATGGACACTTTGTTGCATGCAAATCACATGGCCCGGAAGGACCAAATTGACTGCTGGGGGACTGCCTGGATTGTCAAGGTAAGTACCCAGTGTCACAGGGGCTGCAGACAGTACATCGCTGTTTGCTGCATATGGTTCTGTGTCACCTGTCCACAGCCGAAAGCGCCTTCAATGGCGTCATGAGCTTCAGAACTGTACCATGGAGATATGGAAGTTTTGGTCTGACGAATCAGGTTTTTTTTTTTTGGTTTTTTTTAGATCATGTGGATGCGTGTGCATAGTTTACCAGGAGATGAGAAGGCAGCAGGATGCACTATGGGAAAAGAGCAGGTCGCATGAGGAATTTCTCTGAGCAATGTTCTATCGGGAAACCTTGGGTCCTGGTATTCATACGGATACTGCTTTGTCCCATACCACCTATCGAGAGATTGTTGAGGACCATTTGCCCCTCATAGCAGTGGCCTCTTTCAGTAGGATAATGCATCCTGCAACACTGGAAAAATTATTCAGGAACGGTTTGCCTTGGCCTCCACATTCCCCATATCTCAATTCGCCACCTGTGGGATATGCTGGGACAACAAATCTGATCCATGGAAGCTCATCCTCACAACTTGCAGGACTTAAGGATCTGCCGCTAATATCATAATGCCAGATACCACAGGACACGATCAGAGGTCCATACCTAGACACATCAGAGCTGTTTTGTCAGCACAAGGGGGACCTAGATATAAAATCCAGACACGCCAATTACACTTGCCTCAGTATCAGCAATACCAAACTAAATATTATATCCTACTGTAGAAAGCTGTATTGGTGCAATTTACATACATAATGTACAAATTATACATATTGTTGGTTGTGTGCTATTTCTTTTGTCCTCTTCCTCACTTTATTCTGTACCCTTTTCCAAATTATTAAAATAAATAAATAAAATACAAAAAAACAAAAAAAACAAAAGCAAATCAGGAAGCACCCTGTATAGGCAATGCTAAAGTTATACATAATGCAACTTCCATATGAAACAAATAACTAACCAGAGCCACTAATCAAAAGGAATCAGCAGATAGGATTAACCTTTGTCTTGCTAGCCACAAGGAATCCTTTGATCCAGCTCATGCTCCCGGTTATTAAACAGGAAATTCATTTAAAAAAAAGGTTTGGGGGAACAAAGTAGCTTATGGCTTCATGACTGGTACACTCTTATCCACAGGCCTGGCTGTCACCTGCACTTAATGCTTGGCATTGCTGGTCCAGTAAAAGTAACCAAAACACAAGTTAATATAATGTACACATCTGAAGTGTGCAAATAAGATTGAGTATTTGCATACATTTCATGCAAGTTATTATCAATTTCAATTATGCACAAAGATGTCAATATTTAGGTTTGATTTTGAATATAATTACCATTTATAATTAACGAGCTTAAAGGGACAGTGTAGGCACCCAGACCACTTCAGCTCATTAAAGTAGTCTGTGTGCTGTGTCCCTTTTGCACTTAGTGCTGCAATGTTAAACATTGCAGTTCCAGAGAACTGCAATGTTTACATTGCAGCTCTAAGTCTGTCCTCTGTGGCTGTCTAACAGCCAGCCACTAGAGGGCTTCCGGAATCTAAACGGATTTTTGGTCCGTTATCTGACGCTGGACGTCCTCACAGACCTACAGTGTCAGATTTTCCTCATAGGAAAGCATTGAATAATACTTTCCTATGGGAAGGTCTAATGCAAATGCGGCTATTGCACATTAGGTCTCCCAGTTGGCGGAGGAGCGTGGGCGGAGCCTAACCCAGCACCGAGGTAAATCTGCGCTGGATTCAGGTAAGTGGCTGAAGGGGTTTAACCCCTTCAGCCCCACGGGAAGTGGGACCCTACAGGAGCCTATAGTGCCAGGAAAACAGGTTTGTTTTCCTGGCCCTCTAGGATCCTTTAACCAAATATTGAGCTACTATGGGGAGTCTGCTTAACAGAGGAGAAAAAAGAAAAAGACTTACAAGGTTATTCAGAAAAGTGTGATGTGTCAGGAATGCGATGTGAATTGCAAACTGGAAAAATTCTCAGTCAGGTGTTTTCGGTTTAGCTACTCTGGTCTACAATCTGAAATTCATTCTGAAGCCAAACAATTCCTTCTTTTAGACTACTCCATATGCTTTTATACTTAAAATTCAACCACTGAAATTTTAAATTTGCGTTGAGCTCAAATTAGCTTGGTCAGTTTTAATAATTTCTTTTTATATATTTGGATGCTAAAGAACACTCCAAGCTCCTTAAGCATTTCTGCATACTAAAGTGCTTCATGAGTTAAAAAGAATCCCCTTTGTTTTAATTTTCTTTAAATGCCAATTTCAAGAGAAATCATCCCTTTTCTAAATTACCCAAGTTGCACTATTTTGGCTGTCAGGGCTAATGATCGATCAATATTGCTTTTCCAGAGCCAATACCGATACAGATTTCTAGTCGCCTTTCAGGCTGATTGCCTGAACATGGCAGATATTGTGTACATTTAAAGTTTTGAAAAAGCAACACAAGTTCTACACAAATCTGGCATTACTGAACATGCTGACAGCAATCACACTCTCAGGCAGCCTGTGCATGATTGGATCCGTGAGATCCCAACATGTACAGTGCTTTAATTGATAAGAATGTTTTGCTGTCAGCAATCAACCTCTAACCACTACCAGACAATCCATGCAGGGAGTGGTGACATGAGGTTGCGCAACGTGCCAACTTATTGGCTGGCGGCTGGATGAGGAAGACAGCGTGCTGTGACAGGAGGAGGTAAAGTACCTTATGTTATGGGCAGTATCTGTAATTTTTCCAATCGAGTCTGATTATTAGAAAAATGAAGCATGTCGGTTCTAATGATCAGCCAAATCAATAATCGGTTATTCCCTAGTCAGAGCCATAGGGTGCTTCTCCTGAGGTACTTGCAGTGCTTCTCATTGGTAAGGTAGGGATTTTATGCTTCTCTATTTATGCAGCAAAACCACTGGTAGTTGGTATTGCTAATGCATATGTTCCACTTCCGCACAGGCCATATCAATTTCATGTATACTTGGATGGTATTGACTGGCTTGATGTGTCAGCGGACTGGATCATACAGACAATCAAAAAAATTCCAGTGAGTCCGAGCATTGCTCAGTGTGCCACTCAAAGTTTGCTCAAGAACCTGGAAACAGATTCTGCAGCCCAAGAACATTGCTATGTCGTGGTTATGGTGCTTACACTGTCTCTTTAACTTGCACTCCATTAATAGCATCACATATCATGTGCTCTCATGTGACATATACAGCAACAAAGAAAATTAAATTTATATATATTGCCAAACTGCTTAGATCTTCAGCTTAAAGGGACACTATAGTCACCAGAACAACTAGATAGTGGTTAGAGATCCTTCCCGGGTCATGGCAACCTAAAATGCATCCAAACATTCAGTATCTCCTCCCTCTGCATGCAGACACTGAACTTTCCTCATAGAGATGCATCTATGAGGAGATGCTGATTGGCCAGGGCTGTGTTTGAATCATGCTGGCTCTGCCCCTGATCTGCCTCCTTGTCAGTCTTAGCCAATCCTATGGGGAAGCCTTGTGATTGGATCAGGCTACCACTTCTGATGATGTCAGCAGACTGCTTTTTTTTTTTTTTTTTTTAGGCAAACAGCATGCAGATCTACAGCTTCTGGCTTGAATACAGTAAGATTTTGCTATATTTATGGAGGCATGAGGGGCCCAAGGGGGCTAGATGGTGTTTTTAACCCTATAGGGTCAGAAATACATGTTTGTGTTCCTGACCCTATTGTGATCCTTTAAGAGAATATTAATAATAATAATATATTCAACATTTCAAATGGGACAGTGGCTGCACTGTAAAAAATAAATAACCTTAGAAGGAAATGTTATGACTTTCTTACTTTCTGACGTACCACTTAAAAATAAATCCAATTTATATTCCCATTGTCTGCTATTCCCTTACAATATTGAGGTTTTTCTGCATTAAGGTATGTTAAAGTGAAAAAATATATTTATATTCTGTATGTGTGTGTAATAAAATGTGTGTGTGTAATAAAATACAAAGGGAGAGGGGCCTAAAACAAATAAATAAAAAAATAAACCATAACTAGTGTTATTTTTTGCAATGTATGCAAAGTATTATCAATGAGCAAATTACTGCTAAACTTCAGAACTCAAATGTAATACTAAGTAATAACAAAGGCTCTGTGTTACTGATTTGCGTGTGTAAAGGGTTAACTTGTTTCAGCACAGACTTTTCCAGAATCTTGCACGGTTGTCGTTGCCAAAAATCCTGTAGCAGATGTTCTGGATTTATTCTTTAGCTATAACAACTGCTTTATAAATGATACCATCAAAATTCATTACCGATGACCTCCTTAAACATTTTCATTATATTTTTATATAAAATCTTAAAACAGAATAGCACGCTTGCTGGTGCAAACAAACAATAATATAATTATAATAAAATTAATGCTTATATTGTGCTTATCTGAATTAAATAATCAACAGTTTGGATTGTTGCTATGTTAGGGTTGTAGTGAGCACTGTGAACGTTCTAAGCTTTTGAATACTGCATATGATGTTGATGCTATGGGTGCTGTGTGTCATAGGGATGAGAAGTATGTGCAGTATAGCTTATAAATATTCCTACCCCAAACACTACTAGCCTATTATTACTGTCCAGGTTTGGACAAATTCACACTTAATAATGAGTAACCTTTAATTTCCACATTCAAGTGCAGAGGGGGCAGGAAAAAGGTAGAAAGGAATGCACTGATTTTGTGAAACGACATTCTGACAGAACACTGGTGCAATGGTGCCAAGAGCAACATACCACCATGTTGTTGCGGTTAGGAATACAAAATGTATTCCTGACACTATGCCTCTCCAGTCCCCTGACGTCCATAAAAGAGTTTAAAAAAACAAACAAAAAAACAACCTTAATACAGTTACCTGATTTCAGTGCCGAAGTCTATCTGCTCTGGATCCAGGAAATGAGCAGTGAGCGCATTAAGCCTTCGCCATAGGAAAGCATTGACTGATTTCCAAAGGAGTTTTGCAAGACGCTGGACGTTCTCATGCACAGGATGTCCAGCGTCGTTTCACCGAGTTAAACACTGTGAAACTGCAGGAAGCGTCACTACAGTCTGCATAGAAGATTGCAAAGTTATGGTGACAGGGACAATGCACCCAGACCACTTTAATGAGATAGAGTGGTATGGGTGCCTATAGTGTCCCTTTAATGCACTGTCGGTAAAGAAACATATTTGTAATAGATTAATGTGTGTAAAATTATGTCAGGATTATTGTCAGGAAGTAGTGATGTCCCGAACGGTTCGCCGCGGACGGCGAACATATGCGCAGTTCGGTCCGCCCCCATGTCATCATTGAGTAAACTTTGACCCTGTACCTCACAGTCAGCAGACACATTCCAGCCAATCAGCAGCAGACCCTCCCACCTCCTGGACAGCATCCATTTTACATTCATTGTGAAGCTGCATTCTCAGTGAGCTGTCCAGGAGGTGGGAAGGTCTGGGAAGTAGGGTCTGCTGCTGATTGGCCGGAATGTGTCTGCTGACTGTGAGGTACAGGGTCAAAGTTTACTCGATGATGAATAGGGGGCGGACCGAACAGCACATATGTTCGCCATCCGTGGCGAACCATTCGGGACATCACTATCAGGAAGTCAAAGAAAACAGAAATTTCAGGCCAAAGTCAGCTTATTTTCAGTTCAGCTATTTTAGCCTAAAGTTTGCAAATTTCTGATAGTTTACTTTTTTATGATTAACCCCTTCAGACCGGAGGGCGTACTATTACGCCCTATTATAGGCGGCTCTAAACGCCGCCGGGCGTAATAGTACGCCCTCCGGTCTTTCGGTACTTACCAGGTCGCCAGCGATCGCAGTGGGGGGGACTCCCAGGGAGCCCCCCGCGGCACGTCCGTCCTCCTCGAAGCCCCCCGGCCATGTGAGAGTGGGGTCCTTGCGAGGACCCCACAATCACATGGCCGGGGGTAGCTGCCTCCTGCATTGCCAGCAGGGGGACTGCCTGTAATGACAGGTGGTCCCCCTGCTGGCTGAAAATAAAAATAAAAAAAATAAATAGTGTAAAAAAATAATAATAATATATACTTAGATCATATATATATACACTATATATATACACACACACTATATATATATATATATATATATATATATATATGATCTAAGTATATATATATATATATATATACACACATATACATACACACGTACACTGTCTAGGTGTATTTTACTATTAATATATATATATATATATATATATATATAATTATATATATATATATTAATATCAAATTACACGTAGACTGATACTGATTAAATATATATAATTATTGTTATATATATATTTATATATAATCTAAAAAAAATAAAAATGTAAATACGTTAAAAAATAAAATTAAAAAAATAATTAAAAATAAATAATTAAAAAATATAGATATAGATATAGATGTGTGTTATTTCGTTCTAACTGTTTTGTGAAATTAATATATATATATCAAAATACACGTAGAACGAAATATATCTATCTATATACATATATATACACCTATATATAAATAAAAATATTTTAAAAAATACACATACATATATATATATATATACACACACACATATATTAATTCTACATATATATTTATGTAATATTTTTACATAATTAGGTATCTTAATTAATTACAATTAGCAGGACCTGCCTGACAACCCATGCCGAAAGTAAAGGGAATTTAATTTGCTAGCACTATATTTAACCCTATAACTTTCAGAGACACCATAAAACCTGTACATGGGGGGTACTGTTCTACTCGGGAGACTTCGCTGAACACAAATATTAGTGTTTCAAAACAGTAAAATGTATAACAACGATGATATCGCCAGTAAAAGTGAAGTTTTTTGCATTTTTCACGCACAAACAGCATTACACGGACAATATTATTGCTGTGATACTTTTTACTGTTTTGAAACACAAATATTTGTGTTCAGCGAAGTCTCCCGAGTACAACAGTACCCCTCATGTACAGGTTTTATGGTGTTTTCAAAAGTTACAGCGTCGAATATAAGGCTTGCGTTTCATTTTTTTCACATTAAAATTCGCCAGATTGGTTACGTTGCCTTTGAGACCCTATGGTAGCCCAAGAATGAAAATTACCCCTATGATGGCATACCATTTGCAATAGTAGACAACCCAAGGTATTGCAAACAGGGTATGTCCAGTCTTTTTTAGTAGCCACTTAGTCACAAACACTGGCCAAAATTGGCGTTTTTTGCATTTTTTACACACAAACAAATACTAACGCTAACTTTGGCCAGTGTTTGTGACCAAATGGCTACTAAAAAAGACTGGACATACCCCATTTGCAATACCTTGGGTTGTCTACTATTGCAAATGGTATGCCATTATGGGTGTAAATTTAATTCCTGGGCTACTATACAGTCTCAAAGGCAACGTAACCAATCTGGCGAATTTCAATTTCAAATGTAATGTGCTATATTTGACCCTGTAACTTCCCAAAACGCCATAAAACCTGTACATAGGGGGTACTGTTTTACACGTGAGACTTTGCTGAATACAAATATGTGTATTTTATTGCAGTAAAAGCAAACAGTATTATGACACTGACCGTTAAAATGTCATGTAGAACTAAAAAAATAAATAAATCTTATTTTCTCCCATTTTTTTCATATTAAATTATGTTTCATAGCTAAATATTTGATATTAAATGAAAGTCCTGTTTCCCCTGAATAAAATGATATATAATAAGGGTGGGTGCATTTACTATGAAAGAGGTGAATTACGGTTGGACAGACATGTGGCGCAAATGCCAGGTTTTGTTTAAATTTTGTTTTGTTTTGTTCACAACGTGTACATTTGGCTCCGTCCTTAAGGGGTTAATCCTGTGCCTTTGGACATTATGTGTGATATTCCTAAGTATGGTTGTGTATATACCTGTAATGTACTCAAAAGAGTATAACGTTAAGACTAGATGTTAAAATGTATATTGTAAAAATTTTAGCTGCCTTGAGATAAAGTCTCCCGGTTGGAGAAGAAGCCTGCCCTGTTAAGTCTAGATTTAGTCAGCCTAGAGGCAGATTTGTCACTAATTCTATTGTCCCTTGAGACTGTACAAAGCAGCCTTGTTAGCAATAACAAGCATATAAATTATCAAAAGCTGGAACATGTGATATATATTTCAAAGGATAAATATGCTTACTGCTTTATCACCTCTGACAGCATGAGAAACCACCAAAACCACAAAGTCTTTTTCTTACACAGCCATGTATGTAGTTCCTGCTGCTTTCCTGTATTTGCATCAAACCTTTTAAAGGTTTAAAGGGACACATCACTTGACAATTGATTTTTTTAAACCAGCAGGCACACAAATATACAAATTAAAACAAGAAAAACTTTGAAAAGTACGTATTAAACGTTTATAAACGTACTACTATAAACAGAGTGCATTGTTGGGCACGTCTCTCATATAAGGTAGTTTCTCAAGCTCCCTACTCCATTTAACCACCCATCCCAGTTTCAGATCAGTCCACTAGTGACATAAATAGGGCATCTTTGTGCAGCCGCAGGAGAAAAAACCCTGCACCTGAATTAATGAGACTGATCAGACTCTCTCTCTCTCTCTTCTCCCCCTGTGAGGGAGACGTTGAAAGGCAAAAAGACCTTTTAACTGCACATATGGATATCTGGCAGCCATGCCCAATGCACTTTTCCAGGATTCCTAGAACAGAATACTGTTTAGATCAGTGTATGGAAAGCATAAGAAAGAAGAAGCAGGTAAATTTAAAATAAACATTTACATGCTTTTTTTCCGTCTGCAGAGTTAGGAAACTATTTCATTCAAAGCTAAAGATTTTGAATGTGAGAGTTATCTCAAAGTGATGAATGTACCTTTAACTATGTGAAGACTTCTATTCCGTTCAGCTTATTGTTGCTCTGTGAGCCCACCGTAGTGACTATGGTGCCGTCCCCTGCTATTGTGCTAAGACGTTCGAGTGTACAGTGACAAAACATAGCATCCCTCCCCCCAATCTGATCACTTGAAAATCACTGCCAGATTAAAGTATTTCACCCTACAATCTTTCTTATTTAAAACTAGGACAGACAAACTATCAACAAACTTTGTTAAATTCGTATACCTTTACTCCTTGAATAAGACCATTCATTAGAAATGTATGTTGAGGAAATGTTTCATGTAGCACCTAAAAAAAGAAGAGATACAATTGAAAAATAAAGGAAAATAAAACTAAATATCCAGAAAACAAGGAGTAGCTCTGCAACCTCATCTACAAAAAGAGAGATTTAATTTTTTTCCACAAAGTAGAGGTCAAGAGATTAAACATAAGAAATAAACAAAACAGAATTACTTTCTATGAATAAAGTAAATAAATAAAAAATAAATAAATATAAAAACAGTGACAAAGCTGAACAAGGGTACTACCAAAACCATGAGAGAAAATGAAAGGGTAAAAATAAATAATAAATAATTGTTATAGTCAGTCAACCAATTTTCATTTACGTACTGACCCCTGTTTTGGAACACCCTGTCTTGGATTTGTCAGTGTAGTGGGATAAATAGAGAGGTGATGCCTGTGCATCTTGCTCAGCAAAGCAAAAATATATTTCAGTCGAAAGTACTATATTGAAAATATATTTACACATGACAAGAATTATGGGGGGAAAATAAAGGTTTAAATTACACTATCTATTGTAAGTGAAAGATTGTTTATATTAATTTCACTAAATACTTTGTCTTTATTAAGGGTATAATAGCAGAAATTGGGTAGAAAACAGCATGCGATAGTGCATTAAGAGTAGGAAAAAAATGTCTTGGTTAAATATAACGCAGATACTAGAAGAAGGAGTAAGGGGTAATGTGAAAGGCGCCTTGCCCTTGGTTGCTTTATTCACGTTTAAAGCACATTATACATTGGTGATATGTTATTTTAAAATGTCTTATGACTGCTGACTAACATTGTTGAGAAAATGGAGATAGGCAAGATTACATAGTATACAAACTACCCAAGGCTTTTTCCATGTGACACATATTTTGCTATACAGAACAGGAAATAGAATTCAGAAAAGAAAAAGCTGTTTAACATAAAATTTCCCCAAACTATTTATTCCGCTCTTCTTGATAAACATGGACCATACCAATTTTTATAGCCTCATACACCATTAAATCTATGTATTTCAACTTTTAATTCTTAGTAAAGGAACACTTCAAAGCTAAGTTGTTCTGGTGACAGAAGGTCCCCGGCACTTTTTTTACCTGAAGGGGTTAAACCATGGTTGTCTCCAGTGCTGGATCTCCCATTAGCCAGCAGAATCCATCTTTTTCAACTGCAGAATCCATCTTTTTCAACTAACTTTCAGGAAGCACAAAATGCTTTTGAGCACGGGCAATGCTGATTGGTCTAGAGTGGTCAGCTGATGCTCTAAGCCAAACAGTAGCACCCCAATGCATAATAAATAAATAAATAAATAAAAAATGTAAAAAAGGGTATGTAACATTTTAAAACTTGCCACACATATATTTGTCAATTTGTGGTGTGTGAAAATGTACCTTCAATGTCCGACGGTAACACTGAAAAGGAATTGGGGGTTCTTAAGGACTTTCCACTGGAGTTACATAAAGGCTACATTTTGATATTACAGGGAGTGCAGAATTATTAGGCAAGTTGTATTTTTGAGGATTAATTTTATTATTGAACAACAACCATGTTCTCAATGAACCCAAAAAACTCATTAATATCAAAGCTGAATATTTTTGGAAGTAGTTTTTAGTTTGTTTTTAGTTATAGCTATGTTAGGGGGATATCTGTGTGTGCAGGTGACTATTACTGTGCATAATTATTAGGCAACTTAACAAAAAACAAATATATACCCATTTCAATTATTTATTATTACCAGTGAAACCAATATAACATCTCAACATTCACAAATATACATTTCTGACATTCAAAAACAAAACAAAAACAAATCAGTGACCAATATAGCCACCTTTCTTTGCAAGGACACTCAAAAGCCTGCCATCCATGGATTCTGTCAGTGTTTTGATCTGTTCACCATCAACATTGCGTGCAGCAGCAACCACAGCCTCCCAGACACTGTTCAGAGAGGTGTACTGTTTTCCCTCCTTGTGAATCTCACATTTGATGATGGACCACAGGTTCTCAATGGGGTTCAGATCAGGTGAACAAGGAGGCCATGTCATTAGATTTTCTTCTTTTATACCCTTTCTTGCCAGCCACGCTGTGGAGTACTTGGACGCGTGTGATGGAGCATTGTCCTGCATGAAAATCATGTTTTTCTTGAAGGATGCAGACTTCTTCCTGTACCACTGCTTGAAGAAGGTGTCTTCCAGGAACTGGCAGTAGGACTGGGAGTTGAGCTTGACTCCATCCTCAACCCGAAAAGGCCCCACAAGCTCATCTTTGATGATACCAGCCCAAACCAGTACTCCACCTCCACCTTGCTGGCGTCTGAGTCGGACTGGAGCTCTCTGCCCTTTACCAATCCAGCCACGGGCCCATCCATCTGGCCCATCAAGACTCACTCTCATTTCATCAGTCCATAAAACCTTAGAAAAATCAGTCTTGAGATATTTCTTGGCCCAGTCTTGACGTTTCAGCTTGTGTGTCTTGTTCAGTGGTGGTCGTCTTTCAGCCTTTCTTACCTTGGCCATGTCTCTGAGTATTGCACACCTTGTGCTTTTGGGCACTCCAGTGATGTTGCAGCTCTGAAATATGGCCAAACTGGTGGCAAGTGGCATCGTGGCAGCTGCACGCTTGACTTTTCTCAGTTCATGGGCAGTTATTTTGCGCCTTGGTTTTTCCACACGCTTCTTGCGACCCTGTTGACTATTTTGAATGAAACGCTTGATTGTTCGATGATCACGCTTCAGAAGCTTTGCAATTTTAAGAGTGCTGCATCCCTCTGCAAGATATCTCACTATTTTTGACTTTTCTGAGCCTGTCAAGTCCTTCTTTTGACCCATTTTGCCAAAGGAAAGGAAGTTGCCTAATAATTATGCACACCTGATATAGGGTGTTGATGTCATTAGACCACACCCCTTCTCATTACAGAGATGCACATCACCTAATATGCTTAATTGGTAGTAGGCTTTCGAGCCTATACAGCTTGGAGTAAGACAACATGCATAAAGAGGATGATGTGGTCAAAATACTCATTTGCCTAATAATTTCGCACTCCCTGTAATATCGAAGTGAAAAAGAAAAAATAAATTTTACTTATTCTTGTGCACAAGATACAAAATAGCAAGCATACCTAATTCTACAGATGCAGCTAAAAACACGCCTTTTTGAAATGGCTTCTGTTAAATGGTATAGGAATCACAGAGCATCACTCCATACGTAATGCAGAATTATAAGGTTTAAAATACAACTAAATGAAGCTCACCTAGAACTGCAGAAAAAAAAAGTATATGGCACTAAGTGAAATTATTATAAATGGGGTTCAAAAACAAATTATTGTAATCATCATACTTACAACAAGCATGGGAGTAGTCAATAGGCCCCAGGCAAAGAATTCTAGGAAAATAACAACCACAGCATGATACACAGTTGGCTTTCCGATGCCTTGATGCTAAAAGAGAGAAGAAGAATATATTAGCTTTTTAGGACATAACTGTACACTTCAACTGACTTGGATGATTTATAAAAGGACGATTGATTAAAAGGTTAAAAATAAACATTTAATGGCATTCTAAGAGTCTTCATTACTATGGAGATGACAGACACTTGAAAAGCAAACAGCTGTCTCCCTAGCAGTTTTATCAGCTTTATCAAAGCATATTATTCTTACATAAAATAAGTATTTTATTGAGGATGAAGCATGATTTATCACACTGTCACAACAATGTCAAACAGTAACACATTCTGTAGCGTAAATATGTCATAAAACGAGAACAACATTAAGGCATGCAATACGGACTTTATTCAGGGAAGCTTTCAATACATTAGCTTTGGATCAAAGGCTGTAATTAAGCTACATGACAGATTTGTTTTAAGCCTTAGTCTAGAAACATTAAAGGGACACTCCATGCACTATAGCTTGCACTCATTGCATATGTTATGGTACAAGGAGGTGTCCTGCCTGCTTCCACACAGTTGCTTATAAAGTGTAGCAATCATAGGCGTGCGCAGCCTATTGTATAAGGGTGTGCACCCTAAAGTACAAACACACACGCTGCATGTATATACACACACATATACATACACACACATATACTGCTGTTGTATTCAGCTTCTGGCACTTCTTCTGCCAGAAGACCACGTTAGAGTTGCATGCACAAGAATACAACACAGATTTACAGAGGATCCAAGACCCTCAATAGATAATGTCTGGTGTATGTCTTATTCCCCTGGCCATCGCTAGAGAGGGCTGTGGGAATGGACAAAAATTAGACAAAAGGTAGCTATGCATTTTGTCAAGTGGAGAAAAAAAAAACACATAAGGCACAGTACTCCCCACTTTGCCTAAAGTATAGTAGGCGAAAAAAAAGAAGAGGAACAGTTCATGAGTGAGGAAGAGAAGAGGAACAGATTGAAACAAAGTAAATATTGGCAACAACCGTTTCAGATTTGTAGCTTCTAATGTATGTGTGCAGAAACCCTACACCTAAAAAGAAAACTAGTCTTTCGTAGGTTTAAAATTTGGTCTTTGTTTTTTTTTGTTTTGTTTTGTTTGTTTTTTTTATAAATACTTGTAATAGAAACACTATTACTCTGTGATGTATCAAAACAAAGTAGATGTGATTACCAACACAAAGTAAATTTCAGATTACGTGATATCACTTCATATTCTGCCAATTTTAATACATATAGGAATTCTATATCTAAAGCATATGCCATTCTAAAAAAGTGCAACAAAAGAGAACAAAAACATATCTGGTCTATCAAAACAGCTTAAAATGTTTTTTTTAATTATTTAAACCATGGACCACATTTAAAATCATGAGCTGCATACAATAACACTAGTTTAAAGGGAAAATGTAACTTCTCAGGGAATTACACCACTGAATAAACACAGAAAGCCACCTGTAACTTGAGTAAAATTTTTATTCACATGAGGCTCGGTTTTCTTTAAAAACTTATGTTAAAAATTGAACAAATGACATCACAATTCAGTTCGGTCCAGGCATACAGGAAATGAAGAGAAATAGAAACCATTTTATTTCTTCTCTTCTCTGCAAGATCTCTATGCCGAATTAGAAGGCGCAAAGGACAGATCTTACAACAATGATGGAAAAATTACTACGAAGAGGGCACCAAGTTATAGGACAGCGAATACGCTAGAATAATATTAGAAGTCTTGAGAAGTGACTGTTCTCTAATACAGAACAATGTTCCCACTCTGCCTGCCCCCCCACCCCCCACTCACCCCCTTTTCAAACAAGAAGGATATTTCCAGCAAAGTACTAATATAGTCAACCTTACACCAACACAGTTAAGTCTGGAAATATTTGGACACTGACATAATTTTCATAATTTTGGCTCTGTACACCACCACAATAGATTGATTTGAAATGAAACAACTGAAGTTCATACTTTCAACTTTAAAATTCAAGGGGTTTGTTAAGACCTGCAGTGGTTATGGTGCTGCGGTCTTGGTTCCCTCTCCCAACAGCTGAGCATGAGTGATTATAGCTGAAGCAGGGAGTAGAGGAATAAAATAGATGAAATGCAGTTCCAAGGTGATTCTTCCCAGCAAGTAGAATATCCCCCAAACATGAGCCTAGACTTCATGAAGGGTGTAACAGGAATAATCTTTATTGAAAACACATTGATAACGCTTTTATGAGAAATCCTCCTACAAGAGGACCTCCCACAGCAAACAAAAGCAACAGCCAATCATCACACAGATTTACACGCCTCCTCTCTGCCTGGGAGATATTGAGATAAGTTAAGGAATAAACCAATTATCTCCAGGCAGAGAGCACACAATTTCCCCAAAACTTAGAACACCCCTTTCCCCACAAGGTAGCCCCACAAATTACTTATCCCCTGATAGCCCCGATCTGGGGGACAAACATATCCAAATTTCACCCAGATCGGTTCAGGTGTTCGGAAAAAGTGTGCAGGGTCCCTTTTACCGACCACACACGCAGCTCCTGCCCAAAACAGTTCCACGAATTCAGCGTGTGCGGTCGGTCAATTCACAAAACTGAAAAAACGAACAAAAGTCCCGAATGGATTCTCCTGGCCCATAGTAGCGATTGCTCCCCTTGTCCGTTCGCACAGAACTACCGAATGAGGCTTTCCTGGCTGTTCGGGAAATATGAGAAGCTGGCGTTCGGTAGTTTCCAGCGGTAGTTCGCGAGGTCGAGTGCCCGTTTTTAGTTCCAGACACAAGACGACCAAGTCCCGCTGGCTCTCCTCGTGCGAACAAGATGGCTGCCGTTTTCTTTTCGATGTGGCATTCAGTTGTACGAACAGCGGCCGCCCAGGGAGCACTTAATAGCTTGTTCCTTTGTACTACATGAGCCAGGAGGGTGGTCGGTAGTTTCAAACTACCGAACCAATCCATTCACCTTGCAAGTAATAACATATAAAAATACCGAATCAAAAGGAGAAAATGTCAGGCAAAAGTCCATTTTCTTCACAGGTTGAACAAAAATATTGTATGAAACATTTAGGAATTGTAACCATTATCATACACAGTCTCGTATTTCAGGGGCTCAAATATAATTGGACAAATTAACACATTAATATCCATATCTCTGATGGATTATTTTTAAAAAAAAGCTGGTTTCATTTGATTTGAGAGCTCCTTGGACCGCATGTTGTGGGGTTTTTTTTCACAGCAACAGCTTCCAAATGCAAATTCCACACCTGGAATCCAGACCTTTCACCTGCTTAATTGATTAAGAAATAACGAAGAACTAGCCCACACTTGTCCATGCTTTTGAGTCAATCATCCAATTACTTTTGGTGCCTTGAAAAAGAAGAGGCTATATATTAAAGGACTGTAATTCCTAAACCCTTCTTCCAATTTGCATGTGCATACCCTCAAATTTAAGCTGAGACACTGCACGTTAAGCCCATATTCACTATTTAATTGCAACTTATTTGGTAAAATGCCTAAATAGCACAGCTTGTGTCAGTGTCCAAATATTTCTGGACCTAAACGTAAGTACCCCATTGAAGAGGGTGGGGGAGAACTGGAGCCTTTCTGTCCAGGTGTTTTCTCTGCCTTTAATATAGAATGGAATGAATTTACACAAAAGATTCTAAAACATTTTGCTCATATTCTTTTTAAAAACTATTCATACCAACATGTATTACAAATTCTAAATGAATATACTCACAAAAGAAAAGTAGAAGACAGCAACAAAATCTCCACACCGATGACGTGGTTTGTTGCTAAGCAGCAGCTTCTGACCTACAAAACGGTGTCAGGCTGTATCAACAAAACAGCGTTGAGTCAACATAGATGATGCAGCAGAGATATATTCATGTCACCTATTGCTCGCTTTGACGATAGGTTAAGAACTTAAAATAAATAACATGAGCATAATATTGCCTCATGAATAAGACAATCAGACTAAAAGTGCCAGAATAGGCAATTACAGCCCAAGAATGAAGAATGACATAAGAAAACTGCCAGAGCACCATATTTATGTGAAATGCTTATTAAGTTTACTTACAGAAATTATGTGAAAACCCATGTGCATCCAATAAAAACACCATGTTTCCTTCAAGGAGCACCCTAAGAGCCATACACACATCAGCATAGTGCCCCAGTGTAAGCAGTCAAAACCACTTCAAAGGTCTGTCAACATCCGTGGGGTCCACTGGGCACTAGTCTTCTTCTCTGGAGAAGCTGGCAGTAAAGAGAATTTGCAAGGTGGCTCACTGGTCGAGAGCATTTGCTGAGCGCGATCAGCCAATGAACTCCTCCCTGCCCAGTGCAGAATCCAACATGCAGAGGATGAGATCCGTTTCCAGCAGACCTCTGGTAAGTTGTTAAACCATGCTTTAAGGAACACTATAAGCATCTAGACCACTTCATCTCAATAATGTGGTCAGAATGCCATGTTAGTCCCCGTTTTCACCCTGCAGCTGAAAACATTGCAATTATACAGCAATGGTAATGTTTTCTTCACAGGGTTAACCTGCCTCTAGAGGCAATCAATAGGACTAGAGGTGCTCCCGAGAAATAGAGTAAAAACTCTGCTATTTCAGCCAGATACCATCTGATTGGTGCTGCGTGACGTTTTACGCATTTGCACTAGCCTCTCAATGCTTTCCCATGCAGAGTGTGGAGGCGCTGAACGGCAGTGTTGCACACTGTGCAGCACTGCTCCAAAAGGCACTTCCAGTGGCCATCAGAGGAGTTGCCACTGGAGGGGTGCCTAGGGGGCAATGTAAACACTGCCTATTCTCCTTCTCGCATTTCTTTCTGTTTACATGAAAATTCCTGCAGGGAATGATTATACTCACCAGAACATCTACAATAAGCTGTAGTTGTTCTGGTGACTAATGTCCCTTTAAACTTTAATTACTTACAGGAAGCTTCTGCAGGGTCTAGCAAGCTATTGACAGCAGAAGATAATTCTAAATTAAACAGTATTTTCAATACAGGAAGTGTTTGGAAGTATGTGTAAGTCACATGCAAGGAGGACTGTAACTCACTCCAAGTGGCAGAGATGTGAGCAGTAAGACTGCAGGTGCATGATTTATACACCAAAACTGCTTCATTAAGCTAAAGTTGTTTTGGTGACTATAGTGTCCCTGTAAACTCAGTGACGCAGAAGGAAGCACCTCTACTAACTGTCTACCTGGTCACAAGAGGCAGTCTTAACCCAGCAATGTAAATATGGCAGTTGCTCTGAAACTGCAATGTTTAACATTGCAGGATTAAGGGAACAGTGACTGACTGCATACAGACCATTTCAATGAGATGAAGAGGTCTGGGTAACTTTAGTGTCCCTTTAAAAATTTAGTACACACGGATTCCCCTATCTGACTCCATTGATGGAAGAAATAAATGCCACATTGTTGTTCTTTTGCACTAAAGCACCCAGCTGCAGTGCAAAACCAATCAGAGGCATTGTTACACTTCTGGAGGTTACATGCCTGATGAAGGCCCTATAGAAAATCAATTTAACATCGAAAAGCTACTACTTCTTCCCAGTGATTTAAACATTGTGCAAAAAAAGTGTGCAAACAAAAAAAAGAAAACGAAGGAGTTACAGGATCTTTCATCACACATACTCTCAAAATCTGAAAGAAAAAACACAAAACCATACAAACTGGGTTACTCCACTATGATCAGATATATTACAACATTCATCTAGGTTCCTGATTCTCAATAAAACAAAACTAGCATCCTCTTTTAGGGATGGAAAAAAAAAATTGCATAACTCTCATGGATTTAAAAAAAAAAAAAACCCACGCGCACGTTACACTTTATATTGCAATTAGGTAATGGTATCAATGCAGAGAGGAAGCTGTAACTGCAGATAGCCCAGTCATATTTCTGCAGCCAACCTGCAATAAATTAAAAACGCACCACCTTAGCAAGAAAATCAAGATAGGTGCCCGTTAACTGGAGACAGAGCTTAGTTTTCAACTGTAAACCAGGCTCTCGTGTTCAATGTTATTGAGAGTTCATAAAATAAATTATAATAATTTGTTTTTAATACCAATTCCATAAAGCATAAATTGCAAATGCATATAAAATCAAACTATACCAAGTTTTACAATACAAAATGTAATAAAAAAAAGGACAAATAAAATATATGAACTTGCAGACTCATTTATCAGAATAGCTCCTGGCTGCAGCTGTTATGACTCAAACATCCACTGCAGTCATTAACTACAAGGACACATTCCTTTCATACTAGTTGAAAGGGAAATATTCTCCAATTCAGCCACGGTCAACATTGAGCTTCTTTAGACTTAATTTTGCAATTAGGTTTTCAATACACATTTTGGTGAATAAACCTCAATGTTGGTCACTGTACCATAGGTGAACACCACAGCTGGTCTATAGGTCCCATCTTCTCATAGGGCAATTAGGTCTCTGCTCCTCCAGCACCTATACTGGTCAATGTATATATGCTGGTATTAACAGCCAAATATTCAGCCACAGTTTCAATTCAATTAGCTGTCCAACAGGTAAGCACTGAATAACACTACAAATTTAAAGCACCCAGGGATTGGCATTATTTGATGGCTGTTTTCATATAGTTAAATGTTCATCTTCACCAGTTGAAGATAGAGAAACACAACTTAAATATTTTAGTAAGAAAATGGATTACTTTCTTTCGACACAAATATGCCTCCACTCCCTTCCCACCAGACCTTTCTATGTTTAGAATTATAAAGACATTTCCTGCACTTCAGTCTGCAGTGACAGTGACTCACATGTCAGTGTGATAGTATGTTCCCATTTTATGGAGGTGTGCAGCAATAGGTTCCTCTAAACAACTACTTTACAATCACGCAACAAATAAACAGATATCCTTCCTCTATTTTTTTTTGTTCTGCTTTAGTAGGAGAGGAGGGATTTGAATTAAACATTGGACAGTTTTCAACTATGGTCAAGAACAAAAGGTAAAACAAGCATTAATGTATGATTCTGAAGTGTTTTTACATTGCAGTGTTAAGGGAACATGGACATTGCACCCAGGCTGATTTCCCCAAAACTTAGAACACCCCTTTCCCCATAAGGTATCCCCACAAATTACATATCCCCTGATAGCCCATATCCAAATTTCACCCAGATCGGTTCAGGGGTTCGGAAAAAGTGTGGAGGGTCCCTTTTACAAGAATAAGTGGTCTGGGTGTCTATAGTGTTCCTTTAAGGCCTCTAGTGGCTTCAGTAGGACAGCCATGAGAGGCGTTTGCACAGCACAGACCACATAAAACTCAGGTGATGTGGAAGCCCCAAAAGAAAGCCTGTACTCCATGCTTTCCTGTAAGGAATTTTGAATGCACACGCAGTACTTGCCACATATGAACTAGACCATCACGGAGAAGGCCCTGACTCTTGTATAAAGTCACCAAGAAAGAAGAGGTCAGCAACGACAAATAAATCTCAGTGCTGGAAACCGGTGCGTTAAGTAAATCTTAATTTTTATGGTTGGGGGGGCTTCACAGAGTGTTTTCTATTAAAAAGAATTCTAACATTTTGAAAGGGTTACTCACAAAAAACAAACAAAAAAAACAAACAATGTTTTCATAAAGCACTGGTTTTGGTTACGGTAACCCTTACTGTGGCAGTTCACCCCCTAAAATTAACCATTAATCATTGCCGGAGGGGAAAATCAGGCTGAAGAAGGACATCGGAGACACCAGATATCAGGTGTAACCAGATACTTTACAGATCCAATATTTCTCATAGTAATGCACTGAATCCAATGTTTCTATGAGAAGCATTGGCTGTATTCAGCATAATCATGTGACGCAAGACGAAACATGTAGAACTTTTATAATAGATCTCGAGGTAAAAGTTCCTTTAGTGGCTGTCTGACAGCCAAAAGAGGTGTGTTCTTGGACAGGAATAAAATATTTTACTTGAGAAAAGGGACAGTAACAAAACTTACATTAAGATATTGTGGTTTCAGTCCCCTTTAATTGGTTACTCCAAACACCATAACAACTTCAGTGATTTGAAGTGGTCATGGTGCCTGGAGTCTGTGTGTGCAGAGTTTCACTGTGAAATGCTGGACATATGGAGTTTAACCCCTTTATTGCCAGAGTGTACCTCCAGCTCTTGCAGTATCATTGGGTCGTCACTAACCAGCTTTAAAAAAGATTTCCAGTCCGGTAAATATAATGCAACTCTATGCGCAGAAATTATATGGCTGAGACTGGACGATAAGTGACCGTAGGGATCCACATGCAGCTCCTTGAAATGGTGCAGGCATACATCTGGAATCATACCCAATACAGCAGGCTTAAATGGACACTTTAGGCACCCAGACCACTTTAGCTTATTGAGGTGGTCTGGATGCTGTGTCCCTTTTGCACTTAGTGCTGCAATGTTAAACATTGCAGTTCCATAGAACTGCAATGTTTACATTGCAGCTCTAAGTCTGTCCTCTGTGGCTGTCTAACAGAGTTTCCGGATTCGTAACGGACTCACGGACCTCCAGCACCAGATTTCCTATTCCTAAATGCTTTCCTATTGGGGGCACTTCAGGTTTCTCTAGTGCCAGGAAAATGGGTTTGTTTTCCTGGCACTGGAAAATCCCTTTAATGCAGGTTTATAATACTTGGATTAAGCCTTTAAAGATGTAAATCAATGTTGCATTTAATATTACAATTTGCATTGCAAATGTTTTTATGGGGGTGCATTTTTGTTGTAATTCACAACATTATAAATATCAGGAGATATCAACATGTAACACAGTTATACTAATTATTTAGGCATTTAACCTCATCACATCTCAAGACTAATCCATTAACTGGGATTAAACAAGCTTAACCTGTGCTCATGAATTCACTTCTAGTTCTATTTTTAATTCAGGATTAAGTAACAATTTGAGTAGAACACCACAGGGCACCTGTTTTAAACTAGTTTTCTATGTTCCTAAAATTACTAAGAAATCAATTATCCAAATATTCAGACAGTATTTACAGTTAAAATACACATTTGGCACAAAGGAATTTTTTCTAGCAATAAGTAGCCATAAAATGCATTAGTAAATGAGAACGTGGCTCAAAATCTGTCATTCTAATGTTGAATGTTTGCATAGCACCAAAGTGTAAGCGTCAGCAAGAACTAGGAGAAGCTGCTGCATGTAGGAATGAAGACAAGCTTTCTAATGGAGCATGGGTCAGCCCTGGACCCAAAACGTGCAATAATGTATCTAATGAACATATTAAGCAAAACCTAAAATCTACTGTACCATAGCCAAATCCACTTCAAATGAATGGAAACAGTAGCCAGGGTTGACACTGAGCACATACATATGCTCATTAAAAAAATAAATGTTCAAATAATTCATTATTTTCAGCGTATGAGAAAATTGAAGTTTCTCTGTATAAGCATAGTTGCACTTCAGTACATATATGACACGCAAGGCCATTTCCTTGTTGATCATCCTTATATATCATTTTAGCATCAGTCTGCAAATTAGGGTTTTATAAGAAGCCCAGAAATTGTTATGGAGTGGTTTCACACTGCAGAGGTTTGTGGACTGCAATGGCAATGTGAAACAGTCACAAACATCTGCAATGTGAAGGTTAGCCATAATCCATATATACGGTGAAACTACATAGGGCATCTGAGCATGAGGAGGGGGGGGCCTGCATAGCACACACACAAAAAGTATAATTTCTGTTTCACGCTGTTCTTAAAGCTTTAGTTATTTTGACTTTAAACCTCATATTGTGTCACGGACATTTACTGTATGAAGCCTAAAAGTGTCTGACAGAAATATTATTGCTGGCCAGGACTGATCACGGCTTACTGTCTGTCTGCGATGGAACCTCTTTCAATAACCTCAACCTTGTAGGAAAGAACCTTGACCAACCAAGCTAGCACATATTATTCACTTCTGGATCATGTCACACTTGATCTCATTGTCTTCCAATTTACAACACCACAACACTATACCACATTGGAGTATACGTAATTTTACAATCTGTTTATACTAAATGGACCTATTCATTTTGACCATAATTAAAATAAAGATTGATAATATATAAATAAAACTAACTGTACTAAACTCCTCTTCCAAACACCACAACATTCAGCATTACACTGTGTATAATAAATCACACAGAACATGTATTATACCATGATCACAGGGGCTTTGAAAGAATAATTGTATCATGTAGCATTTGTATCATCATGAGTTGCTTTCATGCTTGTATCAGGGAAATCTTGGTATTACTTAATATTTTGCCTGTTTCACCTGAAGCCAAAAAAAGAAGCCTCACACCAGATAAATAGGAGTGTGCAGCAATCAGTGGCATCACCATCCTAAAAGAGATTGGTACCCACCACCCCTCTCCCCAATTGCAGAGCGTGACTGGAACTTGGCTGAGCATGCAGTCATGTACCAATCACTGTATGCGATCAAGCAGAAAAAAAAAAAACTGTAAATCATACAGTGATACCTTGTCAAGATATGATTTGGCAGTTGAGATATACCCTCTCATTCTGCAATCACTCAGTCCAGAGCAGTCAGCAGAGGAATCTCTCTGCTAGGGTTAGGCTTGTAATAGTGTGTTACAGGATTGTTCAGGGTTGAGTGCCTAGCTTTACAAGTGGTTTAGTATTAGCAGATGATTTAGGGAATGTCTGCCTTCAAGGACCCACAGGCTGTAACCATGATTCTGACTATAAGTTACAGCCTAAAGTGTATTTAATGAAGGTAAACTTCTGTAATTACTCATAACTACTACATGGGGTGTACTGTTCCAATGCTATAGTCATAGTGGCATGAAATACAACAATGGCCCCACGATAAGACTCAAAATACACTATGTACTTTGTGTACTTATATAAATGCATTAAGCAGCAATTTGGCCTGCACCTATATTAAAATGTCCAGTCCAATATTAATATTTTAAAGGATCACTATAGAGCTAGGAAGACAAAACTCTGCTCCTAATACTATAGAGCTCTCCTCTTTATTTAAATAGAGGTGCTTCTTAAGGAAGTGCTGCACAGTGTCTCCACCCTCAGCATGGAGACACTAAACTTTCCTCAAAGAGATGCATTGATTCATTAGGAGGAGATGCTGATTGGCCAGGGCTGTGTTTGGCTTGTGCTGGCTCTGCCTCCATGACAGTCTCAGCCAATCATATGTAAAAGCATTGTGATTATCTCAGACCACCACTTCCGATGATGGGTGGGGGGGAGGTAGGAAAACTAGATGGTGTTTTTAACACTATAAGAACAAAATAATCATGTATAGCAGCACTGTGCTTTTATTGCAGGCTAGCTGTGGGAACAGATTCTCACAGTGGAAGCATCTTTAGAGCCAGTCAGATAAACAGCCATTACAGACACAATTAACCATGCAATGTAAACATCACTATATCTACAAAACTGCAATGCTTTACTTTGCAGAATTAAAATGTCATTGAGATGAAGTGGTATGGGTGCCTTTAGTGGTCCTTTACGTTTGACAAACTGAAATTTAAGTCATTTAGGTAATTAGATTTGGGTCCAAAACAATTGATAGGTATGTCACAATGCAGAGTTCTGTGAAGTGTTTTACAATTCTGTAATACTGTAAAATAAATAAATATATATATATATACACACACACACACACACACACACACACACACACTTGCAAAAGTCCTAACCCCAGCCCACACTTTCTGTGGCTGTCCAGTCACAAACTTTCCAATGCAGCTCAACAAGACGTTTTTGCAAGGCAGGTGCTTGGATCAATTGCCGCCTCAACCAGGAAGTATCAGGACTAGTTGTCTGATTGACAGAAAGGGAGGGGGGGGTGAAGGAGAATATAATTTTTTTTAAAGTGCCAGTTTCTATTTAAATCTGCACTTTTTGTAAAATGAAAAAAGGAGGGCACCGTTTTCACACAAAGCACTAAAGAAAGCTGAAGTGTTTTAGAAATGGGGAGTGTCCCTTTAACAATGCTCTTCAGAAGTAATACAGTAATGTGCCAATAAACTTACTATAAATGTGATTAGAAGTCAGAATATAAACAGAACGCATTGTTCTTTTAAATTACATTTTAGTTTGCTTTAAAGGACCACTATAGGCACCCAGACCACTTCAGCTTAATTAAGTTGTCTGGGTGCCAGGTCCAGCTAGGATTAACCCTTTTTTTCTGTAAACATAGCAGTTTCAGCGAAACTGCTATGTATACCTATGGGTTAATCCAGCCTCTAGTGGCTGTCTCATTGACAGCCGCTAGAGGGCTTCCGCGCTTCTCACTGTGATTTTCACAGTGAGAAGACGCCAGCGTCCATAGGAAAGCATTGATAATGCTTTCCTCTGGACTGGCGGAATGCGTACGCGGCTTTTGCCGCGCATTCAGCTGGTGACGGAAGAAGAGGGAGGAGAGGAGGAGGAGAGTTCCCCGCCCAGCGCTGGAGAAAGAGGTAAGATTAACCCCTTCCACCCCCTAGAGCCCGGCGGGAGGGGGGCCCTGAGGGTGGGGGCACCCTCAGGGCACTATAGTGCTAGGAAAATGAGTATGTTTTCCTGGCACTATAGTGGTCCTTTAATAGTTATCTAAGAAAAATTAATGTTTTTAATATATTTGTAACAAGATAAAAAAAAATATAAAAAAGGATAAAAACATTTTTAGGACAGCTACCCTTGGCCACACCCCCACTTACAAATTAAAGTGTCCCTACTTGCTCTTTGTCCATTTGAAATGTTGGGAGGTATGGAGCTATATGTAGAGACTAGAAAATAAAATATGAGCAGAAAGAGCACTAGCAAAATACTTAACCAGCTGTTATTCAAAAATTTGTGTAAAAAAACAGAACAAAAAAACAGACGTGCACAGCCAGCTCTCTGATGGTCACAGTAAGCCCTATATATTTTAGGATTTCTCTTGTGTTATATTAAGCAGAACATTTTAAAAGGTATGTTGCCTTGAGAAAATTCACACTTCCGCTAAGAATACAAATTGCTTGAGAAGATCAATGGCGGCAGCAGGCAGACATTCCTAGGATAAAATAATATTGGGTTCTGTTGAGAAATTCTTTAAAATGGAATAATGTATTATTATAATTTACATAGCAGCAACAAAATCCATGAGAATCATTTGAATAAAGGATATATTAAACTTAACAGAAGAGGCAGAAACATTCTGAGAAAGCGGGTTTTAAAGCAGAACTGTAACTCCCCTGGACTTTACATAGAATGATTGCAATATTATTAAATGTACAAATCCGAAATTGAGTGCCAGCATAATGGCTTATCTAAGTTACCATTTTGAATATAGTGGAAGACCTGAAGTTAAATTGTGAAATCACTTGCTAAATGTTTTAATATACATTTAAAAGAAAATGGAGCATCAAATGAAAACGTGTTAACTCCTAAATCCCAAAGAAATGGTCAGTGACACTTCAGAGTTATTTAATAAACACCAAAGCTGCCTCATTAACCTAAAGTTGTTTTGGTGACTATAGCATCTCTTTAAAGGAGCACTATAGGGTCAGGAACACAAACATGCCTCCCTATATATAGTAAAATCTTACTTGTATTCAAGTCTGCAGCTGCTTACTTTGTCCCTATTTCCTTTAGACCTGCCCACTGCCTGCTGACATCAGCAGAAGTGGTAGCCTGATCAAATCACAATGCTTCCCCATAAGATTGGCTGAGACTGACAAAGAGGCAGATCAGGGCAGAGCCAGCGCAATTCAAACACAGCTGGCCAATCAGCATCTCCTCATAGAGATGAATTTAATCAATGAATCTCTACGAAGAAAGTTCAGTGTCTGTATGCAGAGGAAGGAGACACTGAATGTTTTGATGCATTTTAGGCAGCAATGACCCAGGAAGGATTTCTAACAGACATCATAGGAGTGGCCAGTGAAGTCATCACTAGGCTGTAATGTAAACACTGCATTTTCTCTGAAAAGACAGTGTTTACAGCAAAAAGCCTGAAGGTAATGATTCTACTCACCAGAACAAATTCAATAAGCTGTAGTTGTTTTGGTGACTATAGTGTGCCTTTAAAGGGACACTATAGTCATATCAACAACTACAGCTTGTTGAATTTGTTCTGGTGAGTAGAATCATTACTTTTGTTTCTGTTTATGAAGAACACACACCTCCACTGGGTGTGACTGACACAGCCTGCATGAAAGCTGATGTAACTTACTTTTAAAGTTTTTTGTTTGTTTGTTTTTTAATCTCTGTAAATTGAACTTTAATTACAAACAGGAGGCTCCTGCAGGCTATTAATAGAGCACAAGATAAGAAATTCTATATTAAACAGCATTTGCAATAAAGGAAGTGTAAACATTAGATGATGTGGGGGAAGTGTTTAGGAAGGCTGTATAAGTCACATGCTGGGAGGTGTGACTAGGGCTGCATAGACAAAGTGATTTAACTCCTAAATAGCAGAGAATAGAGCAGTGAGACTGCAGGGGCATAATCTTTACACCAAAACTGCTTCATTAAGCTAAAGTTGATTTGTTAGTAAAAAAAAAAAAAAAGAAAGGAAACAGGTGGCGCCAAAACAGCGGTACGTAATAATACTTCTAAGTTTTACAATTATGCAAATGAGAAATAAATAAATATAAAATTATATGGTCACAAAAGTTAATCCTTTGTTGGATGGTAGAGTTGAACAGGGAGCCGTCTTATTTGCTTTAAGTGAAAAGTTGATTTGTTGACTACAAGTTACAGGTGACTATTCATTGTGCCAACATCTAGATCTAGTTTTTGCCCTAAATAATAAGCTACATTTTTCATGGCCAATTATGTCTAATAAATAAATAAAATATTTTGCTAAAATTGACAAATTACTTACATGTTGAATAATGCAAAGTGCACAATAATCCTAAATGCAAGGAATTGTCAGGAATTACAAAAGAAACTTTTAAAGCACACCTCTAATGTACACGCAAAAGTTGGAGGAAAGCATAACATGGACTTGCAATGCAACAATTTTACTATTCTATGCAGTTATAAGAAATACTGTGCAGAGTCAGGGGACTTCACAACTGGGGAGATAGGGGTGGGCTGGGTTGGCATAAAGCATTTTAGGGAAGAGGTCAGGGGGCAATATGTTTTTAGAAATTTAATGAAGACCACTTACCGTGGAAAAGGATTACATTTTCAGAGGTATCAAGCTAAAAACTGCCAGTTTTAAAAAAAATTTTAGTTGGAAATACAGTAATGCTAGTAAACGAACACACCAAGCACCATAACCACCACAGTACACTGCCGCAAGTAAAGTAGTCAAACCATAATGGTTATGGTGTGGAGAGTGTTCCTTTTATGACAAGGAAATGACTGCGTAAATTAAAGAATGGTAAGAATAGGATTCAGTACAGACCTGCTACATTTCAGTAACCAGCAGGAAATTTAGAAGGAAGATCAGTTTGTAATGCAAAATTTTCTTAAATTTTATTTAACAGATGAGGCATTGGCTCAAGCTAAATGTTAAGTTTATTGAACTGTTTCTTAAACATTAACCACATTTCACGTAAATGTGTCTTTGTATTTCACGATTTACAGGAAGGTCTAGCTTCAGAATATAGCCAAAAGCAAACTATTGGTAATAAAACAAGGATTCACCAATGACACTCTACTGACATCCAAGATATCTTTATCTTCATTTTTGTCATATAACAATCTTTAATAGCCCATGGTGAAATTTATAGATTAAACGAATTACAAATGTCAGATATCATAAAATGCAGTTCTTGGGAGTTGTATGTTCAAATGTAGTGGCTGTTTTGAAGTCTCTAGAACAAAAAGCCATGTCCTGAGTATTGTTCAAATGTGGTTATGGATAATGTGAGCGCTGAGACCTGGATTTGTAAACACTATAAAATGGCTGATGATTTTCATGTTGTTCTGGTACATACTAATCTTAAAACAGGAGCTACACCCAAAGTAGAAAATGTATGGTCACTAAATTCCAGAAATCTTGCATATGCAACATAAACAGACTATAAAAAATAAATAAATGGGATTTCCAAAATTGATATTTAAAAAACAAACTAAGGATAATGCATTTTCCTCACATCAGTAGCAATAGGAAGAACATTTTATTACCTAAATTTAGCATGATGTAACTATTTAAGGTCAACTAAACCTTAATTTTTTGTATTTTAAGGAAAATATAAAGTATTTTGTTTTAAGCAATGCAATCAATGTCCTATACTGTTTCTTATAACAAATCATGCCAAGTAGACACAGTAAGGTGATTGCCAAGTTTTCTTAACCACATCTACTGCTGACTTGTGCAGTAGTGTCATCCCATTATAAAACATTTTGTATGGCCTCGATTTATTATCTTTAAATGAGCTTTTCAAACGATTTAATATTTTTAGATTAACTTTTAAATAAAATGTTTGTCAGAAATATTAAAATATCACAAAATATAATATATAAGAAAAAATATATCGGAATATAAAAAAAAATGACAATATTGACATTTGTAAAACTATTATTTAAAAATCGTATCCCCCCAAAAAATTAATCAAGGCCTATATAGGGAAAAATGGGGAATAGGGACACTTCAAAGGTTTAAAATGATCTGTAAGAGGAATAAATAATAAAATAAAAAGAAGATTTGATAGCCAAGATTTTTCCAGCAGATTTTGTTTTTAATGAATGACAAAAATGATCATTTAAAATGACAGTCACACACTCCAAATACCAAAAGAAACATAGAGTGAATATGTGCTTTTGGGGTTACCTGCATATGTCCCCCCCCCAATACCAATTCATAAGTGTCAACTTAGGAGACCTATCTCTTTCAGACCATATGAAATATATTTAAATTCTTTAATATGAGAAGCATTCTATTGGGCAGTCACCTAATTTGATTGGCATTTTCTTGGCAGCTTACAATAATAAGCAGCAGTGAAAGAAGAGTTGTAACCAACATCTCTGCACTGGATATCAAAAATAAGAGGCTGGGGGAGAGAGGGGACAAAACAAAAACAACAAACTATAAGAAACTGAGAACTGAAGCGGTTTCACGTCACTACTGGATGCGTTCTCAACATAAGAGAAAGACTTGTGTTAAGATGAGTAAGGAGAAAAGAGAGAATGGGATGAAGTAGGGACAGAGGAGTGAGGAGAGTTGGGAGAAAGGACAAACCAGGAAAGAAAGGCACATGGGCAAACCTTTAATGTAAATGTGGAAAGAGATACTAGGGACAAATGTAGGGGAGGAGGTGAAAACCCAGGGGTAAAAGTAGGGAAAGAACAAGGCTGGGAGAAAGGAGAAAAGTAGGGGAAGAAGTGACCAAGGAAACTGTGGTCAAGAGTAAAGGTGGAAAAGATGGAATAACTATCGGAAGAGGAAGGGAAGATAAGGTTATATTATATAAGGACTTGAGAGAAACTAGCAGGTCATGTTGTAAGAAAAGAGAGAAATTGTAGAAAGTACAATAAAGGAGGAATCAGTAAACACTGTTGAGGGAGAAGGAATAGACCAATAAACAGAGGGTGGGAAGCAAACAAGTCACAAGAAATGGCACTAATCTCCTATTGGACTGTATTAAAGGGACACTCTAGTGCCAGGAAAACAAACCGTTTTCCTGGCACTGTAGGTCCCCTCTCCCGCCCACCCCCTGTCCCAAGTTGCTGAAGGGGTTAAAACCCCTTCAGTGACTTACCTGTATCCAGCGCCGATCTCCCTCTGGGCTGGTCCAGGGTCCACCCACGCTCCTCCCCCGCCGACATCATCCGGCGGGGGAGACCGATTGCGCATGCGCGGCCGACAGCAGGGTGAGACCTAATGCGCATGCACGCGCATTAGACCTTCCCATAGGAAAGCATTGAAAAAGCACAGAAAATCTGTGCTAGAAACCCGGTAGTGCCCTGTCAGATTATTTGTTTATGTTTTCAAGAATATTTAGTGTTCCTCTCCCTTAGTGTTTCTCTCCCATCCCCTCTCACTTAGTGGTACTCTTCCCTCCTCACTCCCCTCCCCCATTAGTGATTCGCTCCCCTCCCTGAGGTGCCTCATTACCTCTCTTGTAGCATGGCCGGCAGAGGGGACCACGGTACAGAAGCTTCAGTTTCCTGTACCTAACAAGACTGACAGGAAGTGCTCTCTCAGTCAGCACTTCTTATCAGTCCGGCCAGGAACAGGAAAATTAAGCTCCTGTGCCGCAGACCGCTTGACCATGCTACACTGAGTGACTGGTACACGGGAGCACTGTGCGCTTCCTTCCTGTCAGTCACTCGATTGTTGCTCCCCAATAGCCGGTGCACCCTAAGGCAGCCGCCTTATGGATGCGCCCTGGCCCTCTTTTTGCTGGGCCACTGCCGACTCTCACATTTTCGGTATCAATAGTGGCATTTACCAATATTTGCCAAAATCCGGAATATCGGTCGAACCAATAATCGTTCTCTCCAATACATATATACACACACACACACACACACGAAAGAGAAAAGTAATAAAATGATTAAAGAATCGCTTCTGGTGAAGTGAGTATGGGATACTAAACTTCTACGGTGTGTGCACAGTATACCACACAAATATTTATGTACTCAAAAAAGGAAGTACACATTTTTCTCACTTAGATTGTGAGCTTATTAGGGTAGGGCCCCTTTTCATCTCTTTCAACATTATAGTGTATGGCAACACTTGTTTTATCTCCCTCAACAAACAACAAATCATATCTTAACATTATATATATATATATATATATATATATATATATATATAGTCTAGATTTACAGATCTGGAGCAATCAAGAAAAACAAATGACTGCAAATACTATACAAAACAATATTAGGGCCCAAATCCTTACTGTACAAATTAAAACCAGGTATGATCATCGATTTCATACATGAGACACTTTTACATTTTGTTTTTACTATAATAATTTAAAAGGAGACATGACCCATTCTGTTATATTTCTTCCCAGCATACAATTGATAAAACCTCAAATAAGTACACATAAAAATAAACAATTGACTATTAATCAAAAGTCTTTATAAGAGATTGTAAATACCAAAGATTTGGGAGGTACTCTTTATGAACATGAAACAAAAAGTGAATGCAACTAGTACACAAATCAAATCAGTCCTACGTGCATTGTTTATCCTCTGTCTGACCCAGTTTAAACCTGTGATGATAAAGCTTTGCTAAGCTACCTACTGAGAAATACAAGCGTGTTAAGGCAGCCTTTAATGAATTCTATCCTTCATTTTAACATGTGGAAAGCCAGAGGTTAGGCCATTCATTGACAGTCTCTTTGTGTATAACCTGACATTCCTGAGACTGCCTACAGTCCCAGCCTTAGGGTGCACCTACTCCACTCACCATGCCCCCATCTTTCATGAGGATCCTCTTGACAAACATAATCCGGCTGCTCTTCTTCTTCTTCTCTTGGCTCATCTTGCCCTCCTCATCCTGCCCGGGGGATGCTGCTGTCCGGGTCACAATCAGGGGCCCTCCTGCTGCTCCTTGCTGGGAGTCCAGGGCTGGCTCTGTACCGGCGGGGGAAGCGGTGCTGTGAGCCAGCAGTCCAACCTGGCCCGGGTGAGCTGGGTAGAGGAGTACCGGCGGCTCCAGGGGGAAGCTGAGCGCTCCCTCTGCCCCCAGGTGCCCGGGCACGGCGTACAGCGGTATGGGATACAGGTGGGTGCACTCCGGCAGCCGGTGAGTGGGAGCGAGCTCTGCGGACAGCAGCACGGCCGGGTCCAGGGGAGCGGGGTAGACCGAGTGCGCAGTCCAAGCGGAGCCCTGGGGGGCCGGCAGACGGACAGATGGCGCACACTGCAGACAGACAGCTGTGCAGGTATGGGGGGCGTGGGGGTGTTTGGGGGCGCACTCTACCGGCAGGGTGGCACACTGCACTCCGCCTGTCACGGGGACCCCCTGGGCTGAGAACGAGCTCCCGCAGGTGCAGTGATCGGGGGTACCGGAGGGGGGAGGCTCGGTGCCCTCTGCCGGCCTCCTCTGATTCTTTAACGGATCCAGAATCCAATCCCGGTCCGGACGGACCTACCCACACACTGCCCGCGTAGCCCGAACACAAATCACCGGCCTCCGCCTCCTCTCCGCCAACCTCAGATTCAACACCGGCGGCTGCGCACAATACACACACAGCGGATGCGCGTCACCGTGCTGACAATGGGACACGCGTCACCGGTCTCCGTGCTGCACTGCATGGCCGCTAGGGGGCGCTGTGCGATACACATAGACTGTACAGGCAGAGACACCAAACATCTGTCACTCAGTGTAACATTCTGTTATGGAATGTATATTTTATTATTATTATTATTATAGGGATGGGGGTTGGTGGTAATACAGCAAATATAGTATGTCGTTGTATGTTGTTTTTTTTCATTAGATGCAATATATTTACTCTCATACATATTTACATATTTATACTGGGGTTTTTTTTTTTTTTTTACATTCTTTAATTTTGCAGTTCAGATATAATAATGCAGACGTCAATGACAAAAAAGAAGCAATAAAAGAATTCAATAACAGAAGGACATTGACACAAAGTACTGAACTTGTGTTTCCTTTTTTTGCTTTGTAATAGGAGATAACTAGGCGAGGTACAACAATTATGTAGAGGCAGAATTTGATACAGAGTGAATAAGGCTACATTGCTGCTATTGTATTATGAGTCGATAATGCGAGGTACTTTATTATTGTATTCCAGTTTTTACAGTATTAACTAAAGTATAGTATAAAAGGTGTAAGTTACTGTCACGTGCGTGGGCTATAGGCCCAGCCGAGACAGTGGGGAGAGTGTGGAAGTGACAGGGTTAATGACACCAGACCCCTGGTTACCTGTTGCTAGTCCCAGCAACCACTCAATTAACCCCTGCAATCCCTTCTACACTATCCCCCTTAGTACTACTGCCACCACCAAGACTTTTAAACCCGGGCGTCTTAGGTTACCCCACACACAGGAGAATTATAGTATCACAGTTCTACTTTTACTGATAAAACATATATAGTTAACCCCTTTTTGGTAACGTGTTTACCTGAGCTTTCCTCTGGAGAGTGAAGCTCATAGAGAACAGAGACACAAGCTGATTAAGTAAACATTTAATCTGACCAAAAGGATTCACAGTGCTGAGTACAAAATACAGAAATAAATGACATACAGAAAACAAATTGCAAAACAGTACATAAAATAAAATAGGAGAAAACACAAGAAATTCCTTACATATATTTACCCCATATAGAATTCTTGTGGGAGTCTTAGATGGTATAGGTCTCCTAGAAGTTACTGACAAAAGAAAAATGAATAACTGACTTCCCTGGATAGTCCAACACCCTCATATATCTAAACTAGTTGTTTCTCAGTGGGCAGACCCCTGGGGGGGGGAATCAGAGGGGGCTGGTCTGGCAGTCTATTGCCCACTCTATGAAATTCCTTGTGTCCAGCTCTGGTGATGGCTATCTAGATGTTTTATGGTCTAGGCCTGGTGCAAGATCAAAGACCACAATAAATGTCATCCCAAGGTTTACAAAAAAAAACGACTCTTAACATATATAAACACACATCAAACACCAACTCATGCTTTTGGCATGACAGTTACATTTAAACAAGCAATTGGACATTTTAGCAAGTAAATTACAGACAATTTAAATTGCCAGAAAAAAGTGGTTTAGGTGCTTCAGCAGCAGCACCTGCAACCCTGCTATTTGAAAAGGTATTTAGTAATAACACAGATTATTTATGTAGAATACATGAAACATTCTAAACTTAAAATTATACCAGAGCAGAAAATTAGGATTTGTGAAATTATAAATCTCCTCCTTCCCCTGCTAACGTCTTATTCCTCTGCCCTTGTTTGTTTATTATTAATTACTTATATGTTTGGCTTACCAATTGTGCTACATTGTGCACTAAACTTTCTATAAAATCTAGTATAAACTACAACATTAAAAGCCAATGGAGTGTGTGAACTTCAGTAAATATGTTGATATATTTATTTTTTGAAAAGAAGATACTCGTCATTCATGGACCGGTCTTCCAGAAACCCATACAATCAGTGGCGTAACTATATTGGTCACAGGGGTCACAGCTGTGCCTATCACTAAAGGAAGCCCGACGACCGCCCTGTCAACCCCTGTGACCAATTGCCCAGCTTAACTTCAGGGCCAGTGTACAGCTGCAACGGCCTGGGGTGTGCAGTATCTGGGTGACAAGCAAGAGGGGAGTGTACAGCACAGTGTTCCCCTCCTCTCATTCACTGCGTTTAGTGTTGCCGAGCAAACCACAAAACCGCAGTTTGACTGGAAGTGCTCACTGAGAGCAACGATCCAATCCACTCAGCCACACTACATGGAGATAAGCAGTAATGAGACACATGGAGGGGGTTGGACAGAATGTGAATCATGGAGGGGCTAGGGGAAGAATGAAACACATGGAGGGGCTGGGGAAGAGAATGAGACTCATGGAGGTGATGTGGGGGATGAGACACGTGGAGGGCTGAGGGAAATGAGACTCATGTAGGTGATGTGGGGGATGAGACACGTGGAGGGCTGAGGGAAATGAGACACATGGAGGTTATGTGGGGAGTGAGACACATGGAGGACTGAGGGGCACACATAGAGGAGCTAGGGGGTTGAATATGATATATGGAGGAACTGGTGGGAGAATGAGACATGGAGGTATGAGACGTATGGTGGAGCTGGAAAGGGAAGAGTGGGAAAAAAGGAGGAGCTGTGGGAGTGGATGAGACACATGGAGGAGGGATGAGACACATGGATGGGCTAGGGGGAGAATGAGCACATGGAGGGGCTGAGGGGGAATGAGCCAGATGGGATATGAAGGAACATCATCACTTCTGGTCTCGCAAGATAATATACTAAGCAATACGTTTGATTACCATTAAAGTCCCAGAAAGGGAGACCCACAACAGCCCTGTCAATAATAAGCAATGTAAATAAAAAGCCTTGAAAGCTCTTGCTGAGCCTGAATAACAAAAAGCAAATATGCGCTCAAACTGAATGTTCGTGCATGCTCAGAAAGCAAAAAAAATATGGTGTGGCACCATATTAATTATGGACAAATTAAAAGTGTATAGAGAAACTGTCTCAGCACAAGCATTTGCGCGATCAGTAAAAGAGGTGCATATGGCGCCATCTTACTTGAAGGAAATGCCAGAAAACTATACTGAATTGTTTAATTGACAAAATATTGTTAAATGAACAGTAAAGAGTTATGACTACAAACCAGTATCCCTAAAGCTTTAGGGTCGGATTAAAAGCCCATTGGGCCTGGTGCTGACAATTATGATGGTCATGGTCCTAATTTCAGAATCTTATCGACAGATAAGGACTGTCCCCTAGAACTCGCTGGTCCACTACTCTCCTTACCTTCTTACTAGCAGTCAGAAGCTCCTGTTATACAGTCTGGGAAATGTGTATGTAGTTAGTGTAGAAGAAAGGGAACATGCCACAGTGTTAGAGAGACTGAAGTAGTCTTGCAACTAATTTCATTGTCAACCAGCCACACCAGTTTTGTTCCCCTATATTCCTCTTGAGTTTTCATACTAAGCAAAAGCATGTGAAGTAGACATGTGCAATTAGTTTCGTTCCGGACGAATTTCATGCAATTCGGACATTCGGATGCTTACGAATGTCTGAAGTTCAGTAGTTTGGTAGTCCCAAACCGAACCGAAGTGTAACTGGTTGTGGTGGCAGTCCAGGCACTGGTAGCCCCATAGATGTATAAATGGTTGTGGTGGCAGTCCTGGCACTAATGGGCAGGGGGCTCCCAGCAGGGCCGGCCCTAGGGGTGTGCGAGCTGTGCGGCCACACAGGGCGCCTTGGAGCAGGGGGCACCCTGCGGCTGACACAGCTCACACATTGTCGGTTGCACGAGTGGAGGATTTCATTATTCTCCACCCAGGATTAAAAAAAAAAAAAAGCATTGGGGAAGGGCTTAGCGTGCGGCAGAGGTGGGGCTATATGATGACAGGGGCGGGGCTAGAAGTGCCGGACCGGGCAATTGCTGCATGGGAAGCAGGAAGAAGTCCCTGCTTCCCCAACAAGCAGAATCCAGGAGCTACTTCCACCTACATAATGAATAGAGGTAACAGTGTGTGCTTGTCTGAATGTGTGTGTGTGTGACTGTCTGCCTGTGTGTGTGACTGCCTGTGTGTGTGACTGTCTGCCTGTGCCTGTGTGGCTGTCTGCCTGTGTGTGTTTGTGACTGCCTGTGTGTGTGTGTGTGACTGTCTTCCGCTGTGTGTTTGACTGTCTTTCTCTGTGTGTGTGTGACTGTCTGCCTCTGTGTGTGTGACTGTCTGTCTCTGTGTGTGTGACTGACTGCCTGTGTGCGTGTGGCCGTCTGCCTGTGTACGTCTGTGTGTGGCTGTCTGCCTGTGTGTGTGTGTGGCTGTCTGCCTGTGTGTGTGTGGCTGTCGCTTGTGTGTGTGTGTGGCAGTCTGCCTGTGTGTGTGTGTGTGTGTGTGTGTGTGTGTGTATGGCAGTCTGCCTGTGTGTGTGGCAGTCCGCCTGTGTGTCTGTGACTGTCTGCCTGTGTGTGTGTGGCTGTCTACATGTAACGGTGTGTGTGTTACACTGGCTGGCTGTATGTACGTGACCGTCCATTTGTGCCTGTGTGTGTAATTGTCTGCCTGTAACTGTGTGTGTGTGTGTGTGTGTGTGTGTGACTGTCTGCTTGTAACTCTGTGTGTGTATGTGTGTGTAATGAATATTTATTTTTAAATCAATATTTATTTAATAAATACCCTATATATTGTTCCCTAATACACTGTTCTCAGTTTTGTACCCTCTTTAAGGATATGTGGTGTAAAACACACAGAGAAAGGTAGAGAACAGGCTGGACAGGTACAGGTCAAGTGTAAGGGCTCTAGTGGTTTCTGCAGACTGCTATCCTCCAGTGCAGTTCCCAATTATTCACACTTTAGTTAATAATTCTGATTGCATATTGTAGATTTTCTCATTTGAAAAGTAGATTTATTACAAAAACGTCAGTCAAGCAACAACAGCACACATCTATATATTCCTAAAAATAGCTAATTTAGATCATATTCACAATTGACATATTTTGTCCTAAAATTTGCAATTCCCTGGTAATTCTCCAAAAATTCCTGGTGTAGTAAACATCTTCACTGGATTATATATTAAACTGTGTATTGTTGGGAATTGACTTGGGAATATGAAGCCTCTGGTCAAAAAATTGATGATTTGGAAGAAACAAAAATACTTTACATGTAGTTTCAGCAGATCCATCTGTCTTGATTCCTCCAGCAAGCTCTCCAACTTTCTGTATATCATATTTTAGTTTTGAATTCTATTTGGGTTCTCCAAATGAAGCCAAAGTAAAACATTTCATCAAGTCCTGGTCCAGAGACAGTTGTCACTTTTTGGAAAAACAGACAGACACAGATAGATGACTGGACAGAAAGACAGTCATACAGATAAACTGATATTTTGATATTTTAAACTATCTTTTCCTCTTTAGGAATATTTCTGCAGCCTTCAGCATATATGAGGCTGATGTGATCTATCCAAGACACAGAAACAAAGAGTATAAGATATCAGTATAACCTGCCATGTGTTCTTCCTCTGTACAGGAAAAGAGTTCATGCAAATTTTATACTTTGCTGAGTGCCTTTGTGTACACAAAACCATAGCAACTGCTGCCAAGTAAATTAAACCATCTATCACAGCTCTGAACCTCCGTCTTCAATAGTCATAACTCCTCTGTTCTCTATATCTTGCAGGACATTTTTCCCTTGAGGCAAAATATAAGATCTCTGTTACGTCTATCATCTCTGTTCTCAGGTAAGTAGAGAATGGAAACTTGAAATATGCCATCTTTCAATATTAATCTTGCTTCCACAGTTGTTGGTCTATGAAAGTAGCATATTTTTAGCATTCCTAGCCAAACACTGGAATGTCATACACAGTGGATGAACCCATGAATAACATTTTTGCATGGCTACATGGCCTTGCCTCTTTGAGTTTCAATTAAATTGTTGGTTTTGTTTGTTTTTAAAAAAAAAAAAGTGTTTCTTTTGCCCTCTGTTTTATTTTGTAAAGATTATAACGTAAATTGTGTTTCTGTTTTAGTTGTGCAAAGATGTCTCTGGCAAGCGGGCACTGGGTACAAAGCAACATTGGTGGAAATCCACCAAAACCCAGGTGTGTGTGTTTTCTTGTTTTAAAATATTGACACCAATCTGCTTAGGGTTTAGGTTGTTTTGAAGTCTTGGAAGATGGGGACAAAATAGAGTTGATATTATGATATTGTGTAATGTTGCTCCATCAAGACCCATTTTTAGGTGGACTAGATTATCTTTACATGTGTTTGTTTTTTGGTATTTGGTGTAAATTTTGTGCACAATATTTTCTTAATCACAATTATTTAAGTTGGTCAGGGGGGCTAAATAGTTTGTTCCTGACCCAATAGTGTTCCTTTAATGTAAGTTACAAGGCAGCAAACTGTATGTGCACTGTGAACCATGTATGCAAATATTGGCACACACACATAATGCCATGTCTGTAACTATGTATTTCTTACACCATCAATATAATGAAATGTAATATGATATAATAATATAT